CCATTTAGCCCTGTCAGACTATCCACGCAGTCTACAATTATTACTGAAATCAATTTTACTATAGGCACTTTTGAATAGTCACATTTAATTCACTCATTCATTGATCCAATTTATTTGATAATGTAACAGCTTCCTTAGTCTGGTTTTTCACTCAACAGCACAACTCAAGTATTTTAGAAACAAATCTTTAAAATTTATATCAGTTATTTGATCCAGTTTATTTGATAATGTAATATCTCCCTTAGTTTTTCAAATAACACAACTTAAGTATTGTATAAACAAGTAAATAAGTCAAGTAAATTCTTGGTATATTTTATTGTTAATGTACTTAGCAGTGTATAGCCTGATTTGTAATGTTTTATTACATAATTTTCACAATTATCTTATTTAGTGGTGGATGCAATTGTAAAATGTATGATTTATGTAAGTTTTTCCATTTGTGAAACAGCAAAGCGTCGCTCAATAACTTATAACTAACGTCCCTGAAGCTTAAATATAACAATTATATAGCCATGATACTAACTCTTGGAACTTCTAGTCGAGACGGTAGAAACTTAGTGTCCAGCCGTGTAAAGACCGCAACCGTTCAACTCTTATTTTTTACTTACATAATATACAGAGTTAGTCACGTACTAGCTACGCGCCCCGGCTTCGCCCGGGTGTACATGTATTATACGTATAAACTTTCCTCTTGAAACCACTTTATCTCTTGCGAAAAATTGCAATAAAATCTGCTGCCTAGTTTAAAAGAGTTAAGCGAATAGACTACGGAAGCATGGGTGTATCTAACCATGGGCTCAGGGTGGGGCAACAGTCAAAAATATTATGCAACTAGCAAACTATACGCACCGTCTTATCCCAATTATTTTCAATTGTCTATTTTGTTTCTAGAGGAAAGTGTTTCATAAGTGACTACTCATAAAACACTTTGCTCTGATATGGGGCCGTTCAAGTATTACGTAAGTACTATGGGGGGGGGGGGGGGGGGGGGGGGGAAGGAGTTTTTAATTTTCTTATTTTGGATGACATGGGGGGTAGGTGAGTCTAGATGACGACTACGTCATCGGTAGTTATTTACTATTTTACACGAATAGTAACCCTCATATTTTCTTTGCAAAAAAACAATACATTAATTGAAAAATGTATATAGCATGACCCTATACATTTTAGTACCATGTAATAGATAAGGTGTATACTCCGGCTGGACACAGAAGGAAAGAGCCTGAAAATAGGTTTGTTCCTATACGAAACTGTTACAAAACTCGACTCTGTTCAAAATACTAAAATCTTAGGAAAGAACCTTTTGTATGATATTTAAATGAAACGCGATAGGTTTTATTAGTGAATTTCCCGTTTTAATAGTGTTTAGGATATTTTCAAATGATAGTAAAAGGTCGACGTGCTTGAGAACTGTTAGTATGACCATTTCTACTAAACTTTCTGTAAAATAAAACCTTAAGAAATATATTACGAGCATATTCTACAATTTCACATATAAATAAAGAGAGTATATTTTAAAAGATGCTGGTTACTGGGTGTCCTCTAAATATAAAATTAGCGACTTTAGGGCTGGTTTTAAAAATATCTTCTTTTTTTTTAATATATTTATCCATGGACCCCTCTATTAACAGAATCAAATTCACATCCATGGCTTAATGGATTCCATTCCATTTATCCATTTTTTTGTTTGCAATCCGAAAATCATAGAGACTTTACTAATATTGAAACCTACAAATGTATTTATTTAATAAATCACCGACATTTGGTGAAAGCCATTTAAACTAAAAGAAGAAGAAGAATAACAAGTAACTTGTTACTTTGTTTTACTACTTTACTCAAATGATGATATAAATTAATAAATAGAAATGAACAAACTAATATAATTAGTAAGTACTGATGATTAGTAGAAAAGTATTCGAATTTTAGACATTTCTTTAATAGAAACACATAATCTGCTCACAGTTCTCAGCTGCCGTCTAAATTGTCGATTGCTTAGCCAACATGCTATTGAAGTCTGCGTGTAATGCCGTAATACCTCAAACAACGCGAGTGAACAGTATAGCTACACTCGTCTTGTCTCGCTTTATCGGCTGCGTGTAGTGGCACGTCTCTGACTGTATCACATTAGAAGGACGTGATTCATAAAAACAGCGTATTACCGTCCAACTCTCCACTTGTACAGCAATTTGTAAATTTTTAACATGTTGGAGATTGTGTTGTATTTACATCTGTATAGCAATGAAATTAACTGTTTGTCCGCGTATATTATGTATATACTTTATTGCATTTGTAACAATATCAAATAAGATGTTATAAAAAAATGTGAGCACGGGTGGACTTATCTCTGAAGATCTCTTCCAGCCAACCTAACGCTGTGATAGAGGTGGTAGTTAGAGGGCAATGATAGTGCTCGAGTTTAAAAAATAAAGCATATGTAATACCCGTTGTGTTTATATATACAAGCAAAGATTCCATAAGGTCGGTTTGTTTGCAACTCCAATATCAGTGCCGTAACCACACAGAGTATAACAATATATTAGTTTTATAATATTAATTCATATGTATGTTAGTCTATAAGATATTTATAATATGGGTTATAGTTGCCTGAAATATGTATATAAATAAAATAAAGTGTACAACTACCGGTGAAGCTGTAAAATCCTACATTAGAAGAGTTCCTAAAAAACAACTGTTATGGAACAATAGTAAAGCAGGAATGTGCTCTTACTGATGTGTATAGTCTGTATTGATTTTAATTATCTATTTTTTTAGAAGCTGGAGTGTTGGACGATAGTATTGTGCGTATATAAGTAAGAGTTTATGTTCATTTGGGACGTGCAAACGTGTAACGTTTCGTGACAAAATTATCAATGTTTACAATGATGAAGTACAGATGATGAGTAGTGATGAATATAGAATGCTCTCACCGAAATTGATCTCCCTAAATCGCTTACAACTATTTCTATATCGCCACTGATTTTGTAGTTGTGTGTAGACGATTTTATTTCTCGCATTTGTGACATGTTTGCACTCTATGGAGAATGTAGGGCCTCTACTATGGAGTGTTGGACCTCAAGATCCCTGCACTCTTTGGAAAGTGTAGGGACCTTAAGGTCCCGTTCGACTTTAGAAGCAAACTACCTTTGGTGGGTTTGGAGTTGATATTCAATTTATTCCTACGATGTTTTTTTCACACATGTACATATAAGTACAGTAGCTGACGCGAGTGTTGTACCAGAAAATGTATTAGAAATAACATCTGTGTAATTCTAGTAATTTTAATAAACAATTAGGTATCGGTTTTGATAATTTTATCACGAAACTCGTAAGTTTAAAAAAAACAATATTATAATTATAATAGAGTAATTGGAGTATCCTTATAATTAATTGTATAAAGGCTAATTAGGATATCAAGTGAGAAGTGTTGGTGTGTTTTTACATAATTCATATAATTTCTACCGAATATCTAAAAAAAATGGAGATTGTGACAAATAAAAGACTTGAATATGCCGATATAGTTATTGTCTTTTATTCCACTATCCCTAGTCCTGTCCTGGAGTCCTAGCTGTGTTTATGCTATATATATACATACAGGGCCGGCGCTAGGGTCCTCAGCGCCCGCATGCAATTTTTAGCGCGGTTTATGTATTATCGTATAAAATATAGAATCTATAGAATACTTAATAAATTATAAATAATGTAACTTAACTATGAATACGGAGTCATAGTTAAGTTACATTATTTATAATTTATTAAGTATTCTATAGATTATATATTTTAATAAAATTATAGTATACATCTGAATCTCGTGATGGCGCCCCCTTTGACGAGGCGCCTGCATGCGTTGCATGCCACGGGCACTATTAAGACTGGTCCCAAGATGGGAGTATACAGGTATTGTTTTTGGATGATATTGGAATGGTAAAGTTATATCAGTCAGCACATCCTGACTAAGTACTTAAATTACCATTTAGTTATTTATGGATGACTAGCTGTTCCGCGACTTCGTCCGCATGGATTTTAACTTTATTTTTCTAAAGTGAAAGATGTTTAAAAATAAAAGTAGCTTAAGTTACTCCTTATTACATCAGCTACCTGCCAAAAAGTCCCGTCAAAATCGGTCCAGCCTTTTCAGAGATTAGCCGGAACAAACAGACAAAAATTGTTATTTTAGTGTATGTACCGTATTTATATTTACCATATATGAATAGAAAACGGTTATTTCAATATTACAAACAGACACTCCAATTTTATTTTTAGATATATAGATAATGGAATGGCACAGTTACTCAGCTAACTCACTGGCTTGCATTGTAAGATGTGTTGCAGTGTAGGATGGGGCAGAGAAATTACAGGATCAGAGGTGTGTCTTCTTAGTCTTCTTCATGGGTGTCATGAAACGCAAGTCTTCGTTACGAACCCCCTCTAATTATTGTCAACTTTGTGATGAAAGCAGGACTTGATGTAACATTTCTTTGAGAATATTTGATTTTTTTCTCGTTTATCGATTAATATTGGGTCTGTTATTGATGTTATAGTATTATTTGATGATTTTTTGAGGCATATTTGTCAAAATCGTAGATCACTAGGCTATGATGACTTGTGTACCTCATAGACGGCCCGCCTGATGGTAAGCGATACGTTTACCCTATATACAACAGCACCACAGCTACGACATGTGGTATATGCGTTAAAATTTGACAAAATAAAAACAATGAAATAGAAAAAGCATCATAAATGCATTTATTTTGTATAAATCACATCATAGTGCAACTAAGGTCCGTACAAATTTATAGCGATACAAAAAGGTCAATATTTAATAGTCTGCTGATACATAAACATATTTTTAAGACAAACATAAAACCATATGCAGATTGCACTGTAAGTACTTTTTATAACACAAACGAGCTTGCGGCTCACCTGATGGTAAATGATTACCGGCGACCATGAACATCCGCAACACCAGGGGAATTACGTTGCCTCCCTTTTAAGAAGGAATTAGCTCTTTTCTTACCTATAGAATATTAAAACCGAAATTTCAATATCGAATCGGTTGGATATACCATTACTGGAAGGTAAGAGCAATGACACCATAGACATCAATCATTCAACATCTATGGTTTACAATGTAAGGGAGATGGAAAACATCATTGTAACAATATAAACTTCTCTAAATTTAAGATATGGTTATTTTGCATATATATATGCTCCTACAATTGTGTAAGCGAGATGAAAGACAATGCAAAAACCAGAAAATTATTTCAATAACATTATGTTGCAATCTTCATATAGTTTTTAGATTATTAGCATAGATAATTCAATCTGTAACCCATTTGTTAGTATAAAAATTTTGCGTCCCACATTCTCTATGGGTTTTTTATTTGTGGTATTATCCACCCAACAGGAAGAGGAGATCCTTCGTCGCTTGCAAACTGGTCCCATTGAGATCTGAAATTTTTTTTTTTTTTAGTTAGTTATTCCTATTTCTATTTCTATTTTTCACGATGGTTTCCAGGGAGAACCACCTGGTGGATGCCAGCAGTAATGTCATTCAGAATCACAGGTTGATGCCTTGGGGTCATTTACAACCCCTAAAGATGAACTGTTTGGGGTGGCAATGTACCATGTCAGTTAGCCCATATCATGATAAATTCTTGGTGAATTTTTCACGATGGGTTGACCTGACCTCATGGTATCTTATGGAGCCAGGAAACCGTTGGGGTCATATTATCATCCATAAAAAAAAAAAAAACTGTTTGGGGTGACCACCGCACTAAATGCTTCTCCTGAAGCAACAACCCCCGGGTGTCTGGAGCTAATGACTTCTTACATTAGAGCTCTAAATATTGGTCGTAAAAATGAGCCATATTTGTTTCTTTTTTTATAGTCAGGATAGTTTTTATTTATAAGCTAAAATTACTGTTACAATTGCATGTGTACACATGTCTGACGGTTTCAGTGGTCTAGTGGTTTAGCTCACCGCTTTACTTCCGATGTTCGCGGGTTCGATTCCACGGACGAAGCAAACAATTGTATTCATGAGTATGATTGTATCCGTCTAGGTATTTTCTATGTATATTATGTATGTATTTAAAAAAAACTAATATTTGCATCATATCTCTAGTACCCATAACACAAGCTCTGCTTACGTGGGACTAGATGGCACTGTGTTAATTGTCCAGGGTTATATATTAACATAAATTTAAAAGTGTCTTTCTATTCACAATTAAACTGCTGAGAAGATCTCAATAACAACTAACGTGAAGATTATTTCTAAAACAAAAGCAGACAATGTTGCCGTTAATAGTAGATAGTTTAATTAATTGATACTACAACAAATGTACAAAGTTTCCGTCTGTTAAAATACACACACTTACCTAACACCAACAAATTTGGTGAGGTCGCCACAGAAATCAACCTGAGGCAGTGACCCACCAAACAGACACTCCCGCCACATGCTCAAGTTCTCCACAATGTGCTCTGCCCTCACATTGCTGAGTTCATTCTGTTGACTGTCCTGCTGCAACTTATCACGTAACTCCATCTCTTCTTTATCATACGCGGCCAGTTTTTCTACCCATAAGGACTTTAATTTTTCTGCAATTTTTTTTAACATCATGTTAATTCAATCAAGTTTAGTGGATACCTTTATGTAGTCAGTTTAATTTATACTAATATTATAAAGAGGTTAAGTTTGTTCGGGATAATCTCTGGTACAGATCCAATTTTTAAATTCGTAGAAAGGTATATTGTACCCAAGTGTTATGGCTACGTAACATTACGGCCAATAGAAGTGGAGCAGTAATGAAAAATGTGGCAAAAATGCTTCCGTTGCATGCGCTGCGTAAACGGTTAGTTACGCAAAAAATATGTAAAACGTAATCATTCTCCATTAAAAGTTCATAAAAAAAGTATACCGTCGAAATATTCTAATCAGTGTCCGTAACCCAAACAGATCAGTCCCTACAAGCAGCCTCATCATCCATGATGATGAGGTCACTAACCTTTGCACTCAGTCATATTAGTCACTAACCTTTGCACTCAGTCATATTAGTCACTAACCTTCGCACTCAGTCATTAGAGGGAGTTCATTGACCCGGGCCACCACGGCGCTACAATTTTGAACTTTATAGCGCGCATGACTGCTTCAACTTCCTCTATCATACTCGACCATATTTTAAGGAACCCAATGTTCCGTTAAGAAACTTACCAATACTATTAATAAATTCTTCAGCTTCCTTTTCAGACACGTGAGCACCCCGTCCTTTAGCTGTATTCTGTCGAGCTTTACGAAGCTTCACCAGAGCATCCAGTTTTGCGAGACATTTCTTAGCATCACTCTTTTTCCTGATAACTTCCTTCAGTACCATATCTGCTTGCAATTTGGCTTCCACTTCCTAAATATAAAAAAAAAATCATAGCTCACAAAATTACGAAAGAAGTTAGTTAAGAAAAGTTACAATAAGTATATAACTGACCAATTCACACAGTGCCATGCCAAAAAAAATAATTATAAAATCATAACAATATAGAAATAGAAATGTTAATCTTACTAATATTATAATTGCGGAAATTTGTGAGTGTGGATGGATGTTTGTTACTCTGTCAGGCAAAAACTACTTAATGGATTCTAATTAAACTTTACAATAATATAGCTTATACATCACAATAACATATAGACTATAATTTCACGCGGGTACAGCTAGTTCTTTATATTTATGACAATATTAAAATTTCTCATCAATATAATCGGTGATGAAATATTAGACTTCAGTAATTAACAGACTTTAATGCATTCTTAAATTTACTTGTGGACCTGCACAAGATTTTTAGTAAATTAGACTAGCTTTTGCCCACAACTTCGCTCGTGTTAATTTATCCCCCTGGGGGTGGAATTTATCAAAATCCTTTCTTAGGGATGCCTACGTCATACGTGTCACTTTCATCGTCATATGTATGCAAAATCACAGCCCGATCGGTTTAAAATTGACAAAGATTCATATAAACTTTTGTCCCCTATTTTATCAGTTTGGGGGTAGAATTAATCAAAATCCTTTCTTAGTGGATGCCTACGTCATAACATCTACCTGCATGCCAAATTTCAGCCCGATCCGTCCAGTGGTTTGGGCTGAGCGTTGATAGATCACTATGTCAGTCACCTTTGAGATATGATGCTCTATATCTCAAAGATACTCCATATCGAAGGGCTGATCGCAGAAAGAGAAAAAAAAAAAAAAAACCTTTGAGATATATTTATTTAGATAGTAAACGATGGAGCTTGATATATAACCTTGAAACCATTATATATATGCTTTTTCCAAGCAAAGTGGTTTAATGGCCAGTAGCTAACTTGAACTGACAAGTATTCAAGGAAATTTTTCAATAAGTCATCAACAAAGAAACATACCTGTTTAACTTTAAGAATATCATCCTTAATTTTCTGAAGATTCTCATCAATCTTTCGCGACTTCTCTTCCAATCTTCGGATGGTGTCTCCTTTCTCTTTCTTCCTTTCTAAGCGTAACCTCTTCAATCTCAACCTTTTCGCTATCCTCTTTGTTATAACCTTTTTCAATGTATCCATGTGCAAATTGTTAATATTAGAGAGTGAATTATTAATACTCGCTTTACATTGCTCAATTTCTTCAACCCTGGACTGCCATTCATCATCAGACAGTGTTTTTAGATTGTCAGCCAAATATTTCTCTTTGCTTTTAATAATATCCACAGATAAAACTATATTGTTTATGTCATCTCTGACTTTGGATATAGATGTTGATTTTTGTTTTGATTCGGAATTGTTAGTTGTAGTTTTTAGTTCGAATTTTGTTATGAATTCCTGATCTGTTTCAGGTGTATCAGCATTTGGATGTGCAATAGGCGGAATATAATACAACGGAGGAGGTGGTGGTCCTGGTATATAGTTAGGTGGTGGATAATTATGTCGGAATGTAAAACTGTTCCCTCGAAAATTATAATAATTTTGGTTATACGACATGATTTCTAAATGTTATATAAAATATAAAACTAGCAAATAATATTAATACAGTAATTATGATATCGTTTCAGGCAGTTGCTTTTCAGCTTCTTTTAATACGTTTTGAGCTGCTACGTAATCCTCGTGCTCCTTGAGATCCTCTTCAGTTTCTAATGTGTTTTTGAGGTCTGCAAATGCTTTTATCAATCTAAAACAGAATAAATAATAACTTTCTACTAACCATTGAGAATTTTTTTGTGCATTATAGAGTAATTTTAGTGATACCATAATTTTAAAAAGTAGTGTTTACAATTACTTTAGTTTCATACTAATTCTGAAGAAATGTACTTCCACAAAATAATATGGAACTCAATAAATATTTTAACTTTTTTAATTCAAAAGTGCTTCATTTCCAATTTGTTATGTACTAAATTTGTCACCATTATACTGAAAATGTTATAAGAAATTATATATGTGTATTCACTAAGAAAATTATTTAATCATTTAGATGCACCAAGAGCACATACAATATGATAGTCACAAAATCAACTTAATTAACATTAAATTCAATTATGTTAATTTTATTATTAAATTAATTAACATATAGATACTGTAGCAATAATATACAGAAAACAAAAGGCGAAATAATAATGTAAATAAAAAAAACATTCAATGATAAAAAATAAGAAGCATAAACCTAACAAAGCTTTTGCAAGGAACAAAGAGTACCTATGACTCATGATTTCATAATATTTAGAAAATGTATTTCAAATTTAGAAATATTTTAGAAACTGGCCAGTAATAAAAATATATTCCCCCATTAATTAATAATTATTATTTATGTACTTTCAGTATATTTAATACATTTCTCATTTTAGTAGAGAAGCCTTAATAACCTAAAACCATCTGGTATTTTAAGTATTTTTATCTCTATTCTGGTTTCCTTTAAAATCATAATTTAACATAGATATGATGTTAAATATAGTAAAGAATTGCTTACCGCCGCTGACAGTCAGGAACCATCATCAGGGACTCCTGCAAGACTTCCTCCTGCTTTCGTATATTATGTTCGTCCTGCCCTTCGTCTTTTATCTTCTGTATTCTATTCTTCTGCAATTCAGCCTCCTTCTCGTACACTACTTTTTCCTTGGCTATGCGTTTTACAACGCCAGTCTTTATTTTAATTTGTCGAAGTCTAGGATCTGCCATAGCGATGGAAAGTTCAAAAAAATTTAGTTCAATCACCTTATATTTTTTACGTTACATTGACACAAACAATTTGACATGAGGATATTGACAATGAACTTTTAGTTTTGATTGACTATTTTTTAAAACTATTTTTACGGCTTTGGATACTCAAACTCGAAATTATGTATTCACGTAGGAATTTTGGGCCTCTTGTAAATCTCGTATTGTCATCCTTGTTACATGCTTAGACTCCTTAAAGTCTAATAGCAAAACAAAATTGATCTGAAGAACATGGAATAGGCATTTGAATTCTTAATTATCCATTTTTTTACACTATGTAGTTACAAATGATGTTTTTAACTTTCGACTATGGTTAAATTATGCGACTCTCAAGGGCGGAATCCATAATTTACTTGCTGAAGGTTTTCCATTTAGAGAAAACATGTGATTTTTGTTCATTGCCTATATTGATATTCTTATAGAGAGAGAGAGAGAGAGCAAAGCAGATTTTTTTTATTTGTACTTTTTTTATTACTACTGATAATCAGCACTGTAGTATAATTATACTACAGTATAAATGCTGAGTGGGTGTCACATTCAGCGTTACTAGTATGTTTTAGCTTTTAAGTCGTATAGTAAATAAGAATACTGTAATGTTGAATAAATGTCTTTATTATTATTACGTTTGAAAAATTATTTTCCTGAAATTATTCTTATGATCTGAAAGGTATATTTAGTACCGAGTGACATAGGCTGCATACCTATTTTGTAATTGAGGTAAGTAACTTTTTTCATCAACGGACCAATTAACTTTTTAAAATATTTTGGCGGGCCGCACATAAAGTAAAACTTATTATTAATTTACCAAAGTTTATTTATGTTAAACATTAGAATATAAAATTGTAGAATAAAAATTTTAACAATTAAAGATAGCGTATTCTATTTTTAATTTAAAATAAAATACCGCGCCGCGGGAATAAGAAATTTCAAAATAAAAGACGCGGCGCGGTTTTATTGCATGTGTGAGTAACTCCAGCGTAAGTAACTCATCAGAAAAAAATGTTTCATGTTTAGTATGTACTTATTACCATTTTATTATAATTAATTTTATACTAATATATGGATGGGAGACAATCAAAAAATCAATTCAATTTTAGAAATGCTTGGCGGGCCGCACAAATATGTTTTACGGGCCGCGTGTTTCTAATCCCTATGTTTTATATTCAAAACCCAAATTTATTATTATTAATAGAGCATTTTAAAAATAATAAATTTAAAAATCATGTTATTCATAAAATTACTACACATAAAGTTAACAATAAAGAATACATTGTACCTAAGGTCTGTAATTATTACGGATCAAGAACTAGAAAATATCTAGTTCCAAAATATTATAATATGTTACCAAAAAAATATAAGATCATTAGATAATGTATCCAAAAAATTATTCAAAAAGAAATTATTAAACTTTTTTGTAAACAAATATTGTATGGCATAAGATACCTGGTTCTACAGGAATGTGTTTATGTGAATGTATGTGTGTGTAATCTATATAGATTAGAAATAAGTATTAAGTTAAGGGGGTCTTCCTATGTGATGGGTTGAAAAAATCGATTTTTTTTTTTTTTATAAATTATGTCTAGAATATATAAAGCGATGTGTGAAAATTCGATAAAAAAAGATACAGCAGGTAAAAGAAAGGCGGTTCGGAGCGGTGAGTCGGCAGTTAGAGACCGGGCCTATTGTGTACCGTCGGCTTTAAAATGGCCTTTTTTTATTAATATATTTGTTTATACAAGTTTAGAAACGTTTCTACAGACTTAAACAGAAATTTCTATTGTTATAATATTTTACCGACTTTTTTTTAGTCTTGTTTGAACTTCGAAGAGAGCAAAACAAATAATTTTTTTTCATAATGAGTGGACGGAAAGGCAGACGCTGGAAATGTTCATCCTGGTCGTGTAAAAAAAGAAACAGTTGGTGTAAATGGCGTAAGGCTGAAGCTAATAATGAACTGGACCAATTTCATCACGATAAACCACCTCTAATTCCGCAAGTCCAAGAAGCTATCAAACCGGTTTTCGAAGATTTATCGAAAGACGAATTATTAATTCGTCTAAACAACGAATTAATAATAAGCAGAGACACAAAACAATAACGAATCTTTGAATTCTTTGATTTGGACTTTCGCTCCTAAACATCTTCATTCTGGTCCCAAAGTTGTTGAAATTGCTAGCTACTTAGCAGTTATTATCTTTAATGAAGGTTTTCAAGGTAAAAAGTCATGTCGATTATGGGATGCCCTGTTGGTCGTGAAGCCCAAGCGTATGTTGAGAAAGATGAAAAGCGAATCTTACGCTCTGAGCGGCGCGTAAGTGATGTCGTTAAACAAGCCACGATTGACTCAAAAGCTGAACAATCTGCTTTAAAGAGTTTCACGAGGAAGAGGAAGGAATACTCTATGGACCAGGCATCGCCGATTGAGAGTAAGTTGATATTTTAATAGTTTTTAACGGACTTGAAACTTTAAACGCGTTTTTCTCAAAACTGTGTTTTTCAAACTTTCCTCCATTGTATCTCAGAAACGGCTGGACCGAATTACTTGAAATTTACAGGGCACACTCAATATATGTAAACGCATGGAATGAACTATTATCAATCGAAAATTTTCAAAACTTCGATTTTTTTATAGCAAAAAACAAAAAAAAAACGCCTAATTTGCAAATTTTATTTAAAATTTATATCAAAAATCAATTTTTTTTTATATTCATTTGATTATAGGTCATTCCGTGCTTTTAAGCCTACAAATTAAAACGCCGTTTTTTTTTTTTTAAGATAAGCCGATCAGCCGGAATCGTGGAGGAAGTGGGAGCTCTTTTTTTCGAGGCGGGGGTGTTCAGAGCGCTGTAACTCTAGTTTGACTGAATATTTTTAGCTGAAATTTTATATTTATACTGTCCATATATGTGTTAATAAATGATAAAAAACTTGAAGCTCTATATATTTACTGGTCGTAGAAAAAAAATCCTAAAATATCCCTAAAAAACAGGCCGTCATTAGGAAGACCCCTTAAGCGCTTTTGCTGCAGACAAACTGCTGAGCAGTTTTGCGGCTTATTGTTTTTATATTATATTGTATATATTTGTGTGTAATTAATAAAAAAAAAAATCAGCAACCAGGCTTCCGGAGCTGATCAGCAATAAGTATTTAGCCAAATTTACCCAAAATCTTTTTTTTTAATTCTTTCACTTATGAAAAGTATGTTATCAGAAAGTATGTAGCATAGAGTATATATTAAAAAACAAAAAAAAAACAAGGTTGCCGAAGATCAGGCAGACGCTGTAGTTCATGGTTGAAAAACCTCAGGTAGTGGTTTAGAATGACCACCAAGTCTCTTTTCAGGACCGCCGTGGACAAAATAAAGTTCGCCGTAACCTGCAGAGAAGAATTAAAAAATTAATAGGGATGCACCCATACGATATCGAGTCGGTTCGTTAGTTTCGAACAATGATAAAATAGTTTAAATTTATACAGCTATCATTCGCAATTCAAAACCAATCAATAATCTTGATAACGTATCTGTAGAACTACCGAGATAAAGTCACGAGATTCTCCAGTCGTCCCTTGATGCTGTAAAGTGCACGATGGCACCCATTGGACCTTTTTTAGGTAAGATTTTTTTTGCTCACGACGTGGGTATATCACCCACATAGGATTTTGTTTGATAGAAATGTAATTTTAAACCATTTAGAAATTAATTTATGACTTTTTAGATGTATAATTTAAAAAACTTATTGTTTTATTATTTATTGGTTGTTAATGTTTGATACAAAATAGAACTCTTTTCAATAATTTCTCAAACTTTATTTAATATTCATTAAAATTTATAACTTTTTATATTATTACTATTTATAATTATTTTAATATATAATGTCTATTTCTCGAAAGTCTATTTAAATTTCGTCAACATAAATTATTACATAATAGTTACTGCGGCCAGTGTGTCCGAACCCGAACTAGTACTTATTAGGTACTACGAGTAGGTACCTAATAAGTCAGACTTTAGTAAAGACTGGATGATTATAATTATTTAAATATATTTTGTTATATACAATATGTATGTATCTATATATACACCTGCAATTTGAAGTTTGTAATGGCGCTAACTTAATATCTTATTCCATTTTAAATTTCATTATATACCCACGCTTGTATTTTAATATTTGTGATGTTATATTATAACTCGGCGTTACCCGCAATTTCGTCCGGAATTTAACTTATTATTCTTATTAAAATATATAACATTACTAAAATAGCCTAAGTTATTCCTTATTATAGTAGCTATCTGTTAGTGAAAGTCCCACCAAAATCGATCCAGTCGTTTCGGAGATTAGCAGGAACGAACAGACGGCAGTTTGTGCTTTCATATCAATTACAAACATTATTAATATTAAAAAAATATTATATACGCAAATGTGATGAAGGGAAGACCTGTTTTTTTTACGGTTTTACAGCAGTAGAAAATAAAAACAGCTGCGGGCGTCGCAGCTTTTTCACATACATCCGTAGCTGTGGTAGCTGTTTTTATTTAACCGAATAGCATTTTACAAAGCAATTTGCTTGGCAGCAGAATATGAGTATGTCGGCGCTACCCACGTTGTCTTGTATAATATCTGCATTAGGGAGGGAAGCGGTTGTTTCATTTTTATGAATGATAATGGAATGTTGCACCCGCCTGCGCTAACAGTTTACGCTGGCGGGGCACCAGTGGAGGATGACAAGATGTGCATGAGGTCAGGTCAGTTAACCCGTCGTAACAAATTCACCAGGAATTTATCACGATGGTTTCCAGGGGGAACCGCGTGGATCTCAACCTGACATGGTACATTGCTAGCAATGGAATTTTTAGTCCACATTACTAACAACCCCATTCCGGGGGATGAGGTCGTTAGTAATGTGGACCATGTCAGGTTGAGATCCACGCGGTTCCGCTGGAAACCATCCTGCTAAATTCCTAGTGAATTTACCACGGGCTAACTGACCTGACCTCATGCTCACCTTATCATTCTCCACTGGTGCCCCGCCAGCGTAAACCGTTAGCGCAGGCGGGTGCACCATTCCATTATCATGCACTAAAAAAGTCTACAGAAGTCAAAAATGTCTACATAAGTCAATTATTACTATTATCATTTTTTATATACACTTTACAGCATTTCTGGCGCTAACGGGGCGGGTGTTTACGGCGGAATTACCGACCCGGGTCACTCATGTGCTGCGAGTCGATGATATCGAGCTGACCTTAGTACCGCAGTTGACAGGGGGCTTCCACATTAACCTCGTTGAAGGTACGTCTAGAAATTAACCTGATCACCCAAATTTCCCGCCTCCAATCGATCCGTGGTAATCTATCTAATCTATGATCCTAATCAAACGGGGAAGGTAATTACGACGGCCGGAATCGAAGTTCGAACACCTCTGGTAGGTGGTCGAACTTCAATTTTGGCAGTTGTAGATAGATAGAAGATGAATCTTAAAACAGGGGTTGGTCGGGGTAAGGGATTTTTAGTAATGTGGACTCATAGCCCCAGTGTATGGTACACTGGGGCTATGAGTCAGGTTGACCTTCATGTGGTTCCCTCTGGAAACCATCGTTATAAATTCATGGTGAATTTACCACGACGGACTAACTGACCTAACCTCATGCTCATCTTATCATCCTCCACTGGTGCCCCGCCAGCATAAACCGTTAGTGCACCACTCCATTGTCATCTATAATAACAAAAAAAGAAGTTGGCCTTCAACCGCTCTATAATGTTTTGTAATAAAAAACATTTCATCGTTAATCCCAGATCATCTCAACAAGATATGAGTAACCGCGTATCTATTGTCACCTATATAGTTAACTGCATTACTGTCTTTTTATCAGATATACGTATTTCATCATGTGAAGTTATAGTAGATAATAATTTGTTCAGTTATTTACTTCAACAAATTATTTAACGATTGTTACAATAATAAAACTACTAACTGTGCCGACCTTTTCATCCGCATGAAATGTAGATATAGTCTATTTATTATGACGACCTCAGTTTAGTGGTTAAGCACACCGCCTTACTTCCGATGGTCGCGGGTTCGATTCCTCGCACGGTACAAACATTTGTATTCCTGAGTATGATTGTTTGTATCGGTCTGGGTATTTTCTATGTATCATATGTGTGTATTTACGGAAACAATGTATCTATGTATTTGTATCAGTTATCTAGTACCCATAACACAAGCTTTAGCTAGCTTAACTTGGATCTAGATGGCGTAAATTGTCCTGAGATTAATAATAATATTATTATTATTATTCTGATGCACGGATTTTAATGAAACATACAGTAATATACTGTAAAGTATATGTGTGATGAGACAGCTTTCCGAATGAGCGGTAGATTATAAAAAGTATAACTATATTCAAAAGTGTTTAAATTATGTTTGTTTTAATAAAGGATTTTCTATTCTATTATCTATATGTATATTTAATGGCTGTTCCTGCTTAATTGATTTTGCTTGTCTTTTTTGGTCTAATAAGTTTGTATTTCTTTCTCATAATTCTTCAGGAAAAGATGAAACCACGATAGGACATATTGGAAGGTCGCTCGTCTCCAGCACTTTTACGACAGAGGAAGTGGATGGAGGAGTGGAAGTCCAGGTCGGAGGAGCAAACCTGACTATAAATACAGTTTCTGATTCATCTGCCAATGCTAAGGGAATCAAGATTAAATGGGATGCCCCCACATTTTTAAGACTTGAAGACTGCTTTGATTTTGGTGAGTGGAATATGTTATATACAAATATCAACGAAAAAGTGTTTCATTCTGTCTGATCGTTTATTACAAGATTACACGGCTGATCGACTCTTTAACACTAAATGCAAATTCAAATTCAAAATATCTTTATTCATGTAGGTCTATTACAGACTCTTATCATATGTCAAATCAACCGTCAATTCGGAATGATATCGAGATGAGAAGAACTGACAAGAAACTCAGCTCGTATTTTTTTTGCAGTACTTTACCAACGATTGAACAGAGACAAAATATTAATAAAGCAATAACTCTACGAAGATTTTCCTTATGTAAGAAAAGGATTATCATAATTTCTTAGACTTTTCCAAACTCTGTTAGAGTGATGATCATGGCTACGCTAATAGTAGACGTTAGCAGGGCACATAGTAAGAATGCATAAGGTTAAGTATAGTCAAGCTACTTAGTGCTCTCCAGGGGGATATCCTTGGAGGACGTCGTTGTCAGGTTCGATTCACAATACAAACATTTGTAATCATGAATCGTGGTTTAGCCGTTGTATATAACTCATAATAGAGGCGCTGCTTACTTTGGGCCTTCATGGCATTATGCGGATTATCCAGGGCTAATATTATTAACAAATTAACTGTTCGAGCGCTATCGAAGATGAGCTATTGACAGCCGCTAGGCCGGGACACCTTTCACTTTGCCTTGCGCCTACGACGTCACCGCACGCGTACCTTATTAATTAGACAATGTTCCTTGTAATATTATAACTCCTCGTATTAAATATAATAACTTACAGTCCACTACTTATTTTATTTACGAGTCAGCAACAGTAACAATCGCCTCACCAAACTGCAATGAATGAATAAATTACAGCGTTTGGTTTAGAATAATATCGAGTGTAACATTATTTACAGGTAACAACCACTGGTACGGTGGTCCCATGCAACTCGACCAACTGTATCCAATTGAAATATCCCAACAAATATATTCACCTTATGTTTCCAAAGAGTCTGACAATTCTGCTATTGTCGAGAGATATTGGCTAAATTCAGCAGGACAGTACATCTATGTCCATCCGCAGGTGCCATTGTTTGTAGACTATTCGAACATACAAGGTCACCATATCTGCTTCGGCGCTCAAATAGCGGAGCCTTATTCTTCTAGAAGAACTCACATAGAACTTTCCTATGATATATGGCTTCTGAAAGATGTTAAAGAAGCGCATAAACACGCTGTCGCCAATTATCTTGGCAAACCATCAAATACACCAGACTACAGGATGGTCCAAAATCCAATCTGGTCCACTTGGGCGCAATTTGGCGTGGACATAAATGAAACTAATATCCTGGAGTTTGCTGATGAGATTAGAGCGCATGGTTTCAATGATTCGCAATTAGAAATCGATGACCAATGGGAGAGTTGCTATGGTTCTTTGACAGTTGATGAAAATAAGTTCCCCAATTTCACGAATTTCATCGAAGAACTTAAGAGTCTTGAATACCGCGTTACAATTTGGGTGCATCCGTTCATCAACAGGGATTGTGAGCCGTGGTTTACGGAAGCTTTAAGTAATGGGTATGTATTTGAATTTATATATTTAATTACCTATTTCGTGTGTTCTTTTTCTTATCGTCTCTCTTATTATATAATGTTATACGTTTTTGCCTCTTAATGTTATTTCTTGACGGCCTCGGTGGTCGCGGGTTTGATATTCGCACGGTACAAACATTCGTATCGATTATTGATATAAAAGTATGATTGTTTGTATTCTGGGTGTTTTCTATGTATAATATGTATCTATTTATAAATAAAACTTATCTAAGTATTCTATCAGTATTCTAATAGCTATAACATAAGCTCTGCAATTTTATTTATATGTATAGATGGCGTTGTGTGAATTGTCCATCTAGGGTTATTATTATTATTGTTGTATTTAAAACCAAATAGACACGGTCGTTTTTTATAAATATGTCTATAAGAGGTTTCCTCTCTAATAATTTAATTTTTTTTTGGTACAATACACTGAGTGAGCTTGCGTACAAGTTTTTAATATTATTTGTCTTTTATTATATAACTGTAACTAGCTACTCGCTTATAATATACCAGAGCATATATCTGTGTCCCGGGTGTACATGTATTATACATGTAAACATTCCTCTAGAATCACTCCATGTATTAAGAAAATCGTCAATGCTAAATAAATAACTAGATTAAATAATCTTCAAAATCCGTTGCGTAGTTTTAATGATTTATAGGAAACATAGGGACGACAAACAGACAGCGATAGCGACTTTGTTTTATACTATGTAATGATGATAATAAAATTAACATTTATCTGTTATAAATATTATAATCTATTCTTGTAAAAGGTCTAACTAACTAATTTGTTCAACCACATATACTTTATGTACTGTGTTAACAATTAATGTATTTATATCTTATAATATATTTTTAGCTACCTCGTTTTGGATGAATCCGGAAGCTCAAATACTACATGGTGGAATAGCAATACCGCAGACTCTGGATACGTGGACTTCACCAACCCTAATGCCGCGGAGTGGTGGTACCGGAGGGTGCTGGAACTAAGAGACAGATATGGCATAGATAGCTTCAAATGTGACGCTGGGGAAAGCAGTTACGCTCCACAGGTAAATTTCTATAACGTAGTCAACCTCGGTTAGGGTTGCCAACTTTTTTTTGACAATAAAAACGTATAAACTGGTTTGGATACGAAAAAAATAAAGTATTAGTAAAAAAATAGATAGCTTCAAATGTGACGCTGGGGAAAGCAGTTACGCTCCACAGATAAATTTCTATAACGTAATCAACCTCGGTTAGGGTTGCCAACTTTTTTTTGACAATAAAAACGTATAAACTGGTTTGGATATGAAAAACATAAAGTATTAGTAAAAAAATAAGTATTTTTCAAATTTCATGTTATTATTGCTTTAAAAATATATTTTTGTGTGCTTTTAACACTAGAGCTGTAAACAAATGTCACAACTCACAATTGACATCTAACATTTCGTTCAGTAATTTTAAATCGATGAGTATTTTGTTTTACGCGTCACAGTAAAGGTTGAAAACAAATTATTTTTGCATACTTTATTTGTATGTTAAAGTTTAATTACCAAAAATAAAGTAGGATATGTTATTATAAAGTATGGTTGGCAATCCTAGCCTTGGTAGTCTAGCGGTTTAGCGCACCGCTTTACTTCCGATGGTCGCTTTTCTCGCACTGTAAAATATTTGTATTTATAAGTATGATTGTATTAGTTTATATTATTATTACCAATTTATACTCAGCCCGAATGGGCAGAGAAGTGACCAGCGCGAGAGTGTAAACCCGAGTGGACACACGTCCCATGCCATTGGCGCTGCCACTCGCGCTGCCCGGCGCTCCCTCGATTATAGATTTCGTGCTCGAGTCAAAAGACAGCGCGAGTGGCAGCATATGTTTACATTCAGCCGTCTCGCTCAGTTGTCGCTCGGCAATATTTCTGGCAGCGCGAGTGGCAGGGGAAGCGGCTGAATGTAAACGTAGCATAAATGTTTTTTATGTGTATTATGTATATATTTACAAAACAAAATGTGTAAATATTTATATCAGTTGTCTAGTATCGATAACACAAGCTTTGCTTGCGACTAGATTAATATGCCATGCGTATTATTTTTTAATTTTACCATCTAATCTGCAACCTACAACTGAAACATACCTTACAAATCAAGCTGATTGGCATCTAAAGTGAGTGAGAAAGCATAGCATAAATTCACCATAAATCAGTTCCTTTCCCAGTTCCTCTCAATTGAATCTGTATACCAAACTATATAACGTAGAGAAAAATAATACAAAGAACCAAAAATATAAATAAAATTGGAGTGTCTGTTTGTAATATTGAAATAATCGTTTTTTACTACATGCACATAAATATAAATACGGTACATCCACCAAAATAACATCTTTTACAATTTTTGTTTGTTTGTCTGTCTGTCTGTCTGTTTGTTCCGGCAAATCTCTGAAATGTCTGGACCGATTTTGACGAGACTTTTTTAGCAGGTAGCTGATGTAATAAGGAGTAACTTAGGCTACATTTATTTTAGAAAAATAAAGTTAATTTCCACGCGGACGAAGTCGCGGGTACAGCTAGTAATACATAATATTTGACGTTAAACGACTAAAATGTCCTACAGGAAACAATGTTTTTTTATTTAATTTTATTTAATTTGAATCTAGTGTTTGTGCTATAGGTCCAGTTTGTGGTATAGCACTTAAACACAATCTCATCTCTGCATATTCTTATTCATTTTCAGATATCTGTACAAAACGGCGAGATTGATTTACAACCCCATCATATTGTGGATGCGTATGTAAGAACGTGCGCTAGATTTGGAAACATGGTCGAAGTACGGACGGGCTTTAGGTAAGTTGAATATATAATTTGTTTGGCTAAAAGGAAATCTTTGAAATTTAAAAGTAAACCTACTAGAATAAGAATAGAAGAATAAGAAGAATTTTACCTATGTATATTTTGTACAAAATATACATAGGTAAAATTCAAAGGAGAGTTATGTTATCTTGTTTAATGCCGTTACCATTAGTATATGTGATACCACAAATAGTCAGTGCGGTAATCTGACCAATGCTACTGGACTATCATCATGTGTGAGACCACAAACGTTTAGTCCGGAAACCTGATCAATGCTACATTTTGCATATACCATTAGCATATGTGATACCACAAATAGTCAGTGCGGTAATCTGACCAATGCTACTGGACTATCATCATGTGTGAGACCACAACAATTCAGTGCAGAAACCTGAGCAATGCTACTGGAAGCGTTACGATCTTCTCTATTGGTGATCAAATTCTGACCGTTATTGAGACTACATCCATATTGCGACACGTGCTTCGCCTCTGAACGAGAAATCATCAGGGATTGATTGTTCGACGACCAAACTGCAACCTGCAAGCGAACGGCCAACTCTAGGCTTCTAAGCTAAATTCACTAGACATCCAGTAACGGTAGTCAGGTTTCCGCACTGAATGTTTGTGGTCTCACACATGTTAATAACAGAGGAATTAAACAAAATAATATAAACCCATCAAGTAGTGAAATAGACACTTAATTCGATAAAATATATGAAACGAGATGTCCTAGTCAAGTAAAAGAAAGTCGTAAGTAAAAACCAGTAGAAAAAGAATCTAAGTATCATAAGGAAACTTGCGTCGATCAGAAGCAATTTCGCAAGTTTAAGTTGAGAGGTGGCAGTGAATGATGTGGTATTTGTTCAGGACTCAGGATCTCCCAATCTTCGTGCGCATGGTAGACCGCGACTCGGTCTGGGGTCTGAACAATGGTCTAGCGTCCGTCATCACGACAACTATCCAGATGAACCTGAACGGGTATACCCTAGTCTTACCCGACATGATCGGTGGGAATGGATACAACTTGAATCACGAGCAGGCGGCCCTGCCAACGAAGGAGTTGTTCATAAGATGGGTGCAGGCGACCACATTCTTACCGGTACTGCAGTACTCGTTTGCGCCTTGGAATTTCGACAACGAGGTAATTTGATTTTTATGTAATTCATTTTAGAGTAATTTTGGTTTGTAACTTGGATACCAGATCAGTTCTTTTGACTCTGGTCAGAGACATGCACCCTAGACTTTTGACAGCCTGGTAATTTGATTTTTATGCAATACATTTTAGAGTCATTTTTGTTTGTAACTTGGATACCAAATAGGTTTTTTTTGACTCCGTTCAGAAACATGCTATAAGAATTGTCGTTTGCACCCTGGAATTTTCACAATGAGGTAATTTGACTTTTATGTAATTCATTTTAGAGTGATTTCTTGTTTGGCATATGGATACCAGCCCGGTCCTTTTGACTCAGTTCAGAGACATGCTATGAACTACATGGTCGATGATCTTGATCTTTGAGCTGGTATTGATCCACTTTGCTTGATTCGGAACTTCACAACATAAATTTTATTCATTTTTATATTATAAATTACATTAGTTTCTTGCACATTTTCTGTTAAGTGCCTTATAAATGTGCCAGTGAATTCAAATAAAAACTTTTCTAAAGTATTTAAACATTAGTTTATTCGTATAACTAACGACCCGTCCCGGCTTCGCACGGTTGTATTACAGATCTTTGAATATTTGTGCTTGTTCTATACTATAATACGCATAAATTATATATATATATAATAAACCTTCCTCTTTAATCAATCTATTACTGAAAACTGCATTAAAATCCATTATGTAATTTAAAAGATATTATCTATTTATTCATCCAAAACAATACAAATTAACAATAGGATAACATAATAGTATCTAAAATTACAGTAAATTTTCGTCAACAATATAATAGTAACTTAAGTAGTAAATTTCTACATGCGAACAGATAGCGGTTGCGACATTGTTCTATATTATGAAGATAATTATTTCTATATCTATTATTTCATTTCAGACGATAGAAATAAGCAAGAAATACACAGATCTTCATGCGGAATATGCCGATGTAATATATGAGGCTATAGAGGCTTCGGTTGCGAATGGCACACCAGTGAACGGCCCAGTATGGTGGCTTGATCCCACTGATGAGGAAGCCCTACTTATATGGGATCGTAAGTATACCCATTGAAGAATGTTTAAAACGTTCTGAATTGCTACCTTTATATGTACGCTCTTTCACGCGTGAATCGGCTTTCCTGCCTTTATACGTACGCTCTTTCACGCGTGAATCGGCCTTCCTGCCTTTATACGTACGCTCTTTCACGCGTGAATCGGCTTTCCTGCCTTTATACTTACGCTCTTTCACGCGCTAATCGGCCTTCCTGCTTTTATAAGTACGCTCTTTCACGCGCGAAACGGCCTTCCTACCTTTATACGTACGCTCTTTCACGTGCGAATCCGCCTTCCTGCCTTTATACGTACGCTCTTTTAAGCGCGAAACGGCCTTCCTGCCTTTATACGTTTGCTTTTTCACGCGTTAATCGACCTTCCTGCTTTTATACGTACGCTCTTTCATGCCCGAATCGGCCTTCCTGCCTTTATACGTGCACTCTTTCACGCGTGAATCGGCTTTCCTGCCTTTATACGTACGCTCTTTCACGCGCTAATCGGCCTTCCTGCCTTTATACGTGCACTCTTTCATTCGCGAATCAGCGTTCACGCAAGAAAAACTGTGCATGTAAAATTAGTAAAAGTATTATATTTTGATGCTGTCTAATATCAGGTATGATTAATTAACACTTTATTTATGTAAGTATTAATTAAATTGTACAGGGTGAATAGTAGATGGAACAGTAGACTAATGTCAAAGAGGTGTGGATATTATTGCCATAATCTAATATAGAATTAGTATTGCCAGTGGACATACAACATTATAATAGAACGAGAAAAACCATGCGCGTCGCCAGTGAGCACGTTCCCGCGTTTTTCAATCGTGCGTGCTTTAGCACCTTATTAAAATAATCATCATTGCAAAATGGCGGACCTTTGACTATGGAGTAAAATTATAATTAAAGAGTTATTAATAAAAATGTATTATTAGAAAATAATATGTGTGGTATCAAAAATAAAATTTTAAAACTAAATGTAACGATATTTTCAAGACAATTAATGACTTACGTAATACGCGCGAAAGAGTGAACCTAAAAAATAGATACAAACAATCAATAAATTACTAAGGATTGCGCGCACTAGCCTTCTCGCGATAGTGCGAGGAATCGAACCCGTGACCATTGAAAGTAAAGCTGTGTGCTACACCGCTAGACCACCAATAATTTCTATAAAAATATGCATCTTTTACAGAGTACCTTCTTGGAGAAACGATCCTAGTCGCTCCAATTCTAGAGGAAGGCAAAACAACCCGTGACATCTACCTGCCCCAAGGTATCTGGTTAGAAGGTGGCGACTCATCCAAGGTCCACGCGGGGCCAGCCTGGATTCATAACTACCCAGCTGCTATAGACGTGCTTCCATACTTCGTTCGCGATTTCTCTTCTGAACCAGATTCAGCAACGATGCCAACTGCGGCCACTGTCCTGTTATTTACAATAATCGTAAATTTTATAAATAATATCAATTTATAAATAATAATAAATAACCTGGGACAATTAACACAGCGCTGTCTAGTCCCACGGTAAGCATTACTTGTGTTATGGGTACTAGATAACTGATATAAATACTTAGATATTTTTTGTAAATCCATACATAATAAACCTACATAATAAACCGCTCTCCATCGACGGGAATTCATCCCCACACGCTGGAACGTGTGGGGATGAATTCCCTGTCGATGGAGAGCGGTTCTATGTTAAAAACTAGATATTAAATTTTGAAATGTGAGCTCACCAAATTTGTGACCCACCCCTTATGACCACTATCCCCTCAACTTGTGACGTATTTATATAGCCTTTAAAATTATTTAACAATTACTATGTAGAGATAACTAGAGATCGAATTTAAATTGTACATATTACGTGTATATATGTATATATATAGGTAATAATTTATTAATAAAGTTACAATTTATATATAATAAATTTATGTTCCGGATTTTTTTTAATCAATAACCCTATTAAACATTAGACACAAGTGAGTTTATAAACTATAATTTTCTTTCTTTTGTATACAATATATTATTTATTTTGAATCACCTAATAATAATCTACATAATTAATTATTTTTTTTAATAATTAAATTAAATTTAAATTTTAAAATTATAATTTTATTAGTAGTAATGAGTGTACCGGTGAAAAAAATGTTCTGTTTATTAAACAATCTTAGTATTGTTAATTTGATAGTGTACTACATGGCTTATTAGTAACGCGTACATTCGACGCGGAGTAGTAATGTGGACTGACCTTCCACTGAACTTAAATCTATGTTAACTGGAGAGGTATTAATGGAAGATTCTCGAGTGTTGACAGAAATATTACAAGCACAAGCTAATGGTAAATAATAAATATACCACAAATCTACTAATTGAACATTTTAATTACATTGATGTTATTATAATGTGAGAACAACAGGATGCTGTAAGTTAGTACTCAGGAGATGAAAGATAAGATCTAGCTGGGATGCATAGCGTTCGTCAAATAAAAAAATTATAAATACACCACAAATACCATATACGACAGTATCTCTTGTGTACTTATCTCTGAAGACTATATACGACCTAGTCTTCAGGATTAAGTACAATGGAGGGAGTACAGGGAGGAGCAAGTTCAGTATGAAACCGGAACATAGCTTGCAATACCAGCTGAGGTGAGTATGACATAGAGAAGACGTAGCCACGAAGTCGACGTTGCACAAAGTTATTTTTATTTATTTCAGGCAACTTAATATTATTGCTAAGTTAGTGTATGACGTAGAGCACGAAGTCGACGTTGGACAAAGTTATTTTTACTTATTTCAGGTAACTTAATATTATTGCTAAGTTAGTGTATGACGTAGAGCACGAAGTCGACGTTGCATAAAGTTATTTTTACTTATTTCAGGCAACTTAATATTGTTGCTAAGTTAGTGTATGACGTAGAGCACGAAGTCACCGTTGCATAAAGTTATTTTTACTTATTTCAGGCAACTTAATATTGTTGCTAAGTTAGTGTATTACGTAGAGCACGAAGTCGACGTTGCATAAAGTTATTTTTACTTATTTCAGGCAACTTAATATTATTGCTAAGTTAGTGTATTACGTAGAGCACGAAGTCGACGTTGCATAAAGTTATTTTTATTTATTTCAGGCAACTTAATGTTATTGCTAAGTTAGTGTATGACGTAGAGCACGAAGTCGACGTTGGACAAAGTTATTTTTATTTATTTCAGGTAACTTAATATTATTGCTAAGTTAGTGTATGACGTAGAGCACGAAGTCGACGTTGCATAAAGTTATTTTTATTTATTTTAGGCGACCTAATATTATTATTTTTAGAAATGGTTCAATGTCATAAAGTGTTTACTGTTGCACTTCATTAGTGGCTAAAAACAAATTGACCCACTGATTGAAAATTTAAATTACGTTGATCTTATCATAATGTGAGAACAACAGGATGCTGTAAGTTATTACTCGGGAGATGAAATACTATATCTTATCAAGATGAGATGCATGTCGCTCGTCAAATTAAATTATACACCGACAGAATGCGAACCAACTTACATTTATAACTTGAAATAGTAAACATTATAATTGTAGTATTATCAAATAGGATAATAATAAAAAAAATAAACACAAATTAATAAATAAACAGACTTCAAAAAATACTAATGAAATTCAAAAGAACGCTACTTCTGGCCTAATCGTTTACAGCTCCGATTTACACTATAAAAGGTCGTGGGTTGAAATCTCCTCACCAGTGGAGAATGATAAGATGAGTAAGCTAGTGTAATTCATTAGCGTAGATGGGTGTACCATAACATTATCATAGATAAGAAACAATATATCTAAAGATATATAAAAGATAGATACATAAAGATATATAGATTAATAATGCAATGGAAAATAACCAAAAACATCATAAACCCCGCGGCAGATGTCCGCGATTCATTTAAATTGTAAATTGCATCAGTACAACATAAAGTCAAACAAACAATGCGTCTGCATAATTAAACAGCGCCATCAACGCCGACCAACTACTTGTCTATGATTAGGATCAGTTTTCCTTTAATTGTAATTGCCACGTGCATTGATAACGCTGGTTATGAAGATGTCAAGATGTTGGTTGTTTAATTAAGCGATGAAAATTAAGTCATTGGAGTTCTGTGAAAAAAGTAATTTTTTTTTAAGTAACTGGAAGTGTGGAGATTGTCGTAGAAATTTTATGTTTTTTTTTAATAGATGATAATGGTATGGTTGGGATTCCGTGTAAATAATTTTTTTACATAGCTGGAAGGGCTGGGGAAAACGTTGAAAATTCAAGTTTTTTTTATAGTTGATAATGATACATTTTTCCCGCTTGCGCTAACGATTTACGCTGGCGGGGCACCAGTAGAAGATGATAGGTGAGCCATGAAGTCAGGAGAGTTAGGCCGTCGTGGTTCACCAGGAATTTATCACGATGGTTTCCAGGAAGGTCGTGGAGGTCAAACTGACATGGTACATTCCTCCCGACCCTACTCCCCGGAAGTTAATATTACCTTCTCACTATTTTCCAGTTCTCTAATTAATATTTTCCTTTTTTATAATTCTTTACAACCATAGACTAATGTCACTTTTTAGAACAACTGACTATTGTTTCCAGATTTATAAAGATATATTTTTATCAGTATTTGTGGAGAAACTCTGGACAGTTTCGTGGACTTTTGGACTTCCGGGAACTCGGGTGTAACGGCCACTTGCTGACTTACTTCAACACTCGTGTTGGCTCTCTTCCTGCCCAACCAAATTTGATAGGAACCTGCTAGCGCAGCTATAGATATGCGTTCTAATATAGAACTTAATGGAGTTCTAGAAACGCCGAGAACTTTTAAAAGATTGTACAGACATTTCGCTGGTATTCCTCTCGCTCCCACTTCAACCGCATACAAACTAACCACATATTTGATTAATTTAAATTACGGAGACGGCCTTGGTGGTCTAGCGGTTTAGCGCACCGCTTTACTTCCGGTAGTTGCAGGTTCGATTCTTTAAACGGTAAAAACATTTGTATTATGTGTTGTTTGTATCGATCTGGGTGTTTTCTATGTAAGTATATTGTGTGTGTATTTAAAAAAATATCTAAATATGTATATCATCTGTCTAGTACCCATAACACGTTGTGTTTGCCTTGGGACTAGATGACGAGTGCAGCTAGTGTGAACTGTCCAGGGTTATTGTTATTATTACGTATTTACGAATTCTTTATATCGATTATGCATAAAAAAATATCGATATGACGATCGATTCTACTCAAAGATCGATTACGCAACAATACTTACAATATAAACGAATATGATATGTCTCGTAAAGAAACATGTACTCTGAACATGAGAAAACTGTTAAAATTGTCATATGTTCCTCAGGTGAGTCTGAAATTTTTACAGTTTCTCAGCCAAACTGCTTGCTTTGTAAAGATTAATTATGGTTGTAAAAAGATAACAAAAAGAAAATAGACGTACATTTGTAGATACATAATATTATATTGTTTATTGTAATGTTTTGACTTGTCTGCACTAACGATATATACTAGTGCGATACCATAGTCCTGGAAATAGAGGCTTTTTAAGTCAATTTCTTTCCGGTCGATCAAAGACTAAAGCCTTCGATATAATAGAATATATATAGAATAATAATATACGGCATAATAGAATATAAATAATCTTTATTCAAATAAACTTTATATAAGCACTTTTGAATAGTCACATTTTTTTTATTCTATTACTCATTCAGAACGCAGACTCATCACAAGAAGAATGAACAAGAAACTTGTGTGTTGTTATTTTAAATAAATGTTGTTTTAAGTAGATTTACATTAACAAAGTTTTTGGATTGAACAAAACAATCAATTTTAAGTTAGATATTTTCTACATAAACCTTATTATCATTTATAAATTCTTCAATTTTATATATTTTAAATATTTTATAAGAGATTTGAGTCTTTTTTCTGGCAAATTGAGTACAGACTCTGGCAGTTTGTTAATATTTCTTAACCAGCTTAGAAGTTTTGGATTTAACGAAAATCAGTTTGCATTAATTCTAGCTTGTTGCTTGATGCTCCATCAATGGAGGATATGGAGTCAAGCAGTCAAGTAAACGCCAAAAAAAATGACTGACTATTTCAAAATATACAGTTTTAAATTAGACTCTAAAACTCAATAAAAATAAATAAAACAATGATGATTATGATTGAATGATGAAGCCAATGATTTAAAAAAATAAAAAATATTATACAGCCATATCGAGTGTACAGTCACCTTAAAGTAAGATTGTAACAGAGTATACTATTATGTTGTTTGTAAATACATATATTAGCGACGATGCAGCAGAATTGGAGCAGTGTAACGGTGGATGGGAGACAGGATGGCTGTTCTACTCTTCCGTAAGTAGACGAATAGACTAATACTAGCTACTAGCTAGCGGCTTCGCATGAGTATACATTTGCTATATATATAAAATTTATATATATTATTTTTATTTATAATTATATAAACGTTCCTTTAGAATCACTCTATTTATTAAAAAAATCGCTACAAAATCTGTTGCGTAGTTTTAAAGATTTAAGCATACATAGAGACGGACAGACAGCGACAGCGACTTTGCTTTATACTGTATAGTGATGATGATGATAAGATAATATATAATATAATATAACGTAATATAATTTAGACAATTCTGAAATATTTTAATGTCTGTATATACACACACACAGAAACAAAGAATGCAAGAACGTTTGGTAGGGAGAGATTAGTTATATTTTATGAAATAAATGTTATTCTTATTCTTCTTAATATAACTATAATGTTCGAATGTCTGTATATAGAAAAAAAAATGCAAGGACTTGGTCAGGGAGAGATTAGAAGTAAAATTCAGTACAGGCTAATTTTAATGAGATTTTGTACACCAGACCTTACATCCCCGGTCTACATTTTAGATTCTCTTAATCAGGGAAAGATAAAGAGATAAAGATATATTGGTGTATACTGTTTATATATGTAATATGTTATGTTATTCATTATTATTATTAATCTTTTTTTTCACTTCTATTCTAGTGCCACCTCCCACCTTTTGTTTTTCTCCTCTACCCAAAGGTTACCTGGAAGAGATTGCATAAGCAATAAGGCCGCCTTTTGTACCCTTTAATTTTAATTACTCTATTAATGTAATTTTCCTGGTGCAATAAAGAGTATATAAATAAATAAATAAAGACTTCCCGTAGGATACTTAAAAATCTATAGTAACTCATTTTGAGCTAAGGCAAAGAGTGAGAACAACACGTCATTTGTTATTTTTAGTCCAGTATTCCCAGAAATCATAACTAGATAGGTACACACTTCGATACATACTAAACTTGTAAACCTGTGAAAATTTCAACCCGACATTCTGACTTTCACAAGTCGAGTAAAAAGAAAAGAGATATTATTAGAAAGAAAGAAAGAAAATTGTTTATTTGGTATACTGAAAATAATTTTTAAAATTTAATTTACATTTTATATTAATAATTAGAGTACCAACTAGGTCTCCGCTCAGCATATGTCGTGACGGGGTGCCACCACACTGGTTTTCAGCGGACTCCTTCATATACAATAAACATAATAAAATAATAATAATAATACACATACATACATAAATCCAGGCGGACAACACAAAGCAAACATTTACGACATACTACCATATATAAATAAACTACACACTGAAAACATAAAATAAACATAAATTCTGGTGACACTAGTATTACCCTGCATTACCCCGCTTTTGGAGTGCAGACACATCACGGCACAGTTTTCTGACTGAAGAGGAGTATTTTTTTAAATTTATTTTTAAAAATCTGCACAGTTAATTAGTTAAGGTATCTAATATCTATATATCTATATGTATCTATAGTAATCATCATATTAGTATATCTACATTCAGTATTATCGCAGATAATATTAGTAAGTGATATTATTCGATTATTTATAGACTGTGTTTTCAGTTGCTACCCTCTGCACCGTTTAATTAAAAAACCCATACCGTAGTAGGTGTTACTTCATTTTAGCTTAAATTTCATTATTTTTACTCATAATTTTCGTCTAGAATGTAGCTGTTAAATCAAAGGTTTCGTAAATCCAAATGACAGTTTCAAATACTAGCATGTTTAAAGAAACAAACTCGCTTTATAATATTTTAGTAGTAACTTGCGATATACTATGTACAATGATCATGTTTTAATCTGGGATATGATCTGTCGGTGTACGAAATTTCATTTGAAACCGTCCAGTAGTTTGCGTGAAAGAGTAATATTATACATCAACTTAACAAACTTTCACGTTTATATTAGATAGATAGATACATAGATAATTGATTTATTGCCAACATAACACAAATAGTACAATTTACAATAAGACAAAAAACAAGAAATAAATAATAACATGGAAGTTGGCAATAGGAGCTGCCTCAGCTATTGCTGATATAAGCACAACCTTAGTGAGGTGCACCTATACAGCGCTGGTTTTCAGGCAGCCCCCATTACTCATAAAAAAAACCTAAGATGCGGGTTTTTTACTACATACAGATACATATAATTTAAACACAAAAAAAATATATTAAATAAGATCTAGGATACACATATTAGTGACTAGCAGTTCGCCTTGGCTTCACACTTCACTCTTGAATCAGTCTATCTATTGCTAAAAACGGCATTAAAATCCGTTGCGTAATTTAAAAGATATAAGCGAACAGACAATGGAAGGGACTTCTTTTTATATTATTTAAAGAAATGAATATAGTGATGATAGTCATATAAGATTTTTTATATTACAATGGTGGCTAACAAGCATACGGCCCATCTGATGGTAAACGCCTGAAACACCAGGGGTGTCACGTGCGTGTTGCCGACCCTTAAGAAACCGTAATATAAGCCGTAGTTTCAAGTTTGACTTGAAATTCAAATTCAAAATATCTTTATTCATGTAGGTCTATTACACTCTTATAATATGTGAAATATACCGTTAGTTCGGAATGTTTTCGAGATGAAAAAAATTAACAAGAAACTCGTATTCTTCATTACATAGTATAAAACAAAGTCGCTGTCGCTGTCTCTCCGTCACTATGTATGCTTGAATATTTAAAACTACGCAACGGATTTTGAATCGTTTTTTTTTATACATAGAGTGATTCAAGAGGAAAGTTTATATATATAATACATGTACACCCGTGCGAAGGAGGAGCGAGTAGCAAAATAATTAGTTTCAAATATATATATTTATATATATATTTTTGGTTGAAAACCAGCTATATGTTCACCTAGGACATACATTTGGACATTTCAGTGCGATTGTTGGATGTAAAAAATGTTTATTTTATGTTTATTTTTTAATTATGGTAAATTAAGTTTAATTATATGTACATTTTATTTGCTCTTTTTTTTCCGTTTGTTGTTTATATTGTATTTTTTACATTACTGAATAAAATACAAACACATATTTACAAAAACTTCCAAAGATTATGTAAAATACAAACAAAGTTACTCGTTACACATCCATAATTATCATGTGAGAAGACAATGACGGATTTTCATTATTAAGTGTTTGATATCTTGAACTTGCCGATTAGAATACAATTACGCGTGGGACAATGGGACAAAAACGGTAATAATATCGTTGGAACTGCATTTAATAATTACAAAGTGGTAGTACATTTTACTAGTGGTAATACATTAGAGGAAGTATGAAAGTGGCACCGGTGTCAGAGAGGTTGAAGAGTAATCGTCTATCATGGTATGGACATGTAATGCGTAGGAACGAGGATAATATTTTAAGAAAGATGTTACAAATGAATGTGGATGGTTATAAGGGCAGAGGAAGGCCAAAAAAGAGATGGATGGACTGTGTGAAAGATGATATGGTAAGAAAGGAAGTAAATAACGCGATGACTGCGAACAGGGATGAATGGAAGCGAAAAACATATTACGCCGACCCCAAATAAATGGCATAAGGAAGAAGCAGATGATGATGCAGATGATGAAAGTGGTAGTACATTTTACGAGTAACTAATGAATCGATTCTGATAATTCTAGATTAGTGTTTACCCGCGGTTATATCCGCATATTCAGCATGATGCCTACAGCTGCCTTTTATTGCATTCTTTCCTACACGCTGGAACCTAAGTAGTCTCGTACAGTGCGGTTTCCGAGGACCTTCCTACTGCGTACACTTAGATTGTGGAATGAACTACCTGCCAACGTTTTCTCTAGAGATTACAGCATTGGCTTTTTCTAGAAGGGTATATTAAGGTTTCAAGCGTCCAAAGTCTACGGTAACCGTTTACCATCAGATGGGTCGTATGTTTGTTTGCCACCATCGTTATATAAAAAAACAATCGGAATTAACCTATACTATCGACTTTGAATAAAGTGGGCAGTATAGGTGATAATACCCAATTTCTCCAATTTTTTTTTACGTTTATATTAAATTCTAATATACGATACTAACACTTTTTCATCATAATTATTTTAGTTCTAGCAGCGCTCTCAGTATGTGTCGAAGCGACTGATATAAACATAATCAATACGCCAGAACTGAAGGCAAAACTGGAAGACAATCTGAACGGAGGTCTCAACATCGTCTTACAACGCAGTAAGTACAACCAATATCAGTAACCAATATAATTTCCAGCCTCCGCCGCCTTATGGAGAGTACCATGTTTACAGGTTCGATTCCATGCACGATACCTATATTTATTGTTGTATGTATAGTCTTTGGCAGTTTCCTGATCATATGAATGCGGATTGTTATAAGTGCAGAGGAAGTCTGAAAAGAAATGGACGGACTTTGTAAAATATGATATGATAAGAAAGGGAGTAAATAACGAGATGTAAGCGAACAGGGATAAATGGAAGAGAAAAACATATTACGTTGACCACAAATAAATGGGATAAGGAAGAAGCAAATGATGATGATAATGATTTAGATGTATTATAATGTAATATTATTAACCTAAAACTAAAATCCGTACAAAATATAATGTAATAACTAAAATATGTTATTAAAAGAAGTCCCTTTAGGCAAGGTTCCGAACATACTGGCAGCGTTCCCCCATTGAATAGCTATGCTAATTCTTTGTCCGAGGTAGCTGCCAGCTCTACGGTCTTCTGTGATTTCGACTACCCTTTTTGCTATTTCCATTTACATATATAGTTGTATACTAGCTGTACGCGCGACTTCTTTTGCGTGGAATTTTGCAACATTATTATATTTTTCTAAAATATAAGTAGCCTAAGTTACTCTTTATTACATCAGCTACCTGTCAATAAAAGTCCCGTCGGAATCGGTCCAACCATTTCAGAGATTAGCTGGAACAAACAGACAGACAGACAGACTGACAAAAATTGTAAAAAAATATATTTTGGTGTATGTACCGTATTCATTCATGTAGTAAAAAACGGTTATTTCAATATTACAAGCAGACACTCCAATTTTATATATACGTATAGTTGTATAGAAAAGTATAAATGTTCACAGATAACTTACAAGAAGTGATAACAGTGATTGGACGCCGCACTGGTCCAGCGAGGGATGTGGTGCAAAATGGTGACGTTGTGATCCAATTCTCAAATGATACAACCCTGAGGATGAGTGTGGAGAAAATCGAGGGGAATAGAAAGGGATATGTGCTCTCGTTAGCATGGGAGGCGCCGAAGAACACACGGCTAGAAGACTGCATCAACCTTGGTAAGATTACTAGATCATCCGTCATACTCGTGAACGAGTGCTGCTTGTAGAGACTGGTCTGCTCTTATCACTACGACTGATTTAATCTTACTGTGTCTTCATATTTGAACCTAAATAAATTAGTGCTGGTTGGTAGTTTGTATTCACACGTTTCGACTTGTAAAATGTGAACTTACAAGGATTGTTTAAAAGAGCAACACATAAGTTTCTTGCTTATTCTTCTTGTGATGAGCGCAGTGATGGCTGGCTCATCCGTCGTACTCGTGAACGAGTGCTGCTTGTAGGGACTGGTCTGCTCTTATCACTACGACTGATTTAATCTTATTGTGTTTTATATTCGAGCCTAAATAAATTAGTGCTGGTTGGTAGTTTGTATTCACACGTTTCGACTTGTAAAAAGTGAGAAAAGTTTAAAAGAGCAACACACAAGTTTCATGCTTATTCTTCTTGTGATGAGACAGCTTTCCGAATAAGCGGTAGATTTAAAAAAAATTGTGGACTATTCAAAAGTGTTTAAATTAAGTTTATTTGAATAAATGATTTTCTATTCTATTCTATTCTAGAAACCAATATTATAATGAGAAACAACCTGATTTTTTTATTTATGTATTATTTACCGTCACGGGTTCTTCGGAATGCATTACAAACCTTAGAATTTCCCAGCTTTTCTGTACTATACTATACTATATTCTGTGTATGAATGGATGGATATACATATAAATCTTCCTCTTCAATCACTCTATCTATTGCTGAAAACTGCATTAAAATCTGTTCCGTCTTTTGAAAGATCTAAACTCACAGTAAGCGAGAGCGACTTTGTTTTATACTATGTGAAGATTGCACAATAAAACTTGTACTAAAATCGAGCTCACACGGTATTCTGCACTCGCTAACCTTTATGTATAAACAGAAAGCGTTGTGGCGAAGTCATTGGGTAAAAATGTCACAAAGTTACAATTTTATTTATAAATTTTAATTTATTTTATTCATTAATTCTGGTTGATATGAATAGATAAAATAATATATTATATTTGAATACAAATAAAATAAATATTAATATTATGTTTATAGTGGTTTACATGTCTTATTTAGTCGTGCTCACTGTGGCCTTACCTTCATGATGGTCTCTCTTCGTTGTCCCTAAGAAGGACCTACCTTGGTTTACTACTATCCAACTTCGATTCCAAAGGTCGTAAGTTCAAATCTGACTTACGGTTCGTTGATAGATACATCGATAACAAACCCAATTTTGTTTGTTATTGCTGTTTCCATTGCCGGAGTAAACAATATAAGTGACAGTGGTATGCTTGATTGTCAAGTTAGATGCCATAATTACTCCATGAATTGTGGGTATATCAAGTTTTGTCTTCAGAGAAACGTCGAAGCATTCACAATAATGATAAAGTTATCAAGACCTCTGACTACCCTATGTGGTATAACAGCCGTGAAGATATTCTATGTATTATTACTATTAGAACATTATAAATCTTATTTTCAGGCTCGAAACACTGGTACGGTGGTCCGCAACAGAAGCGTCAGTACTGGCCTATTGAGAGATTAATTCTCCCAAACTATTCTTACATAACAAAAGAAGCAGATAATTGCGGAGTGGCCGAACCTTACTGGCTCGGCTCTGATGGTATTTTCTACCATTTCGACAGGAAGGTACCACTGTTCGTCGACCAAAATGACTTGGAGAAGAATGCCGCCTGCTTTTTCGCACAAATAAAACCCCCTTATTCGACTAAGAGAGAGCGAAATGAACTGACATATGCTATAGGTATATTTGAAAATGTTAGAAAAGCTCATGAGTATGCTGTTGAGAAATACCTGAAGAAACCATCAGGGGTGCCTGATGAGAGGATGATCAAGTACCCCATTTGGTCTACTTGGGCGAGGTACAAGAGGAATATTAACCACGATGTTGTGTTGAAGTTTGCTGATGAAATCAAGAGCAATGGCTTCCCCAATAGTCAACTCGAGATAGATGACCTTTGGGAGATCTGTTACGGCTCTCAGACGGTAGATCTGCAACGGTTCCCCAATATGAAGAATACGGTGGATTTACTGAAAGAGAAAGGATTTAGAGTGACTATATGGACGCATCCATTTGTAAATAAACACTGTGATCCTTGGTATACAGAAGCTAAGGAGAAAGGGTAAGTCTTATGAAACGAATAGCCGTGACTTCGTTCACTCTTTTAGAGAAAAAGTGTAAATCAAAATGTCTTTATTCATGTAGGCCTATTATAGACTCTTATGATATGTGAATTCTACTGTCAGTTTGGAATGCTTTCGAGCCAAGAAAAACTGGCAAGAACTCTGCTCTAATACGCTATTATTTTTTAATGATCTTAAATATAATCTTTTTTAATTATTTTTGATAATACATCATTACAGAATAACAGATTCATTTTTAAATTAAAATATACTTTACTAGTAGTTAGTTAGTTAGTTAATACATCGTGTGGTACAATAATATATTTTTATTGTGATCCATTTAGCTACTCAATCCTTTATCTACCTTTATTTTTTTAATTACGAGCTCGGTGGTCTAGCATTTTCTTAGCGTGGCACTAGATGGCGCTGCCTGAATTGTCCAGGGTTATTATTATTATATCTGTGTTGGTTGTTAGGTGGTATCTGTAGGATTGTGTATACATTGATAATTATTAATGTAATTATATCCATAGGTACCTAATAATGTCTGAATACGGATCAGTTGAGACAAGCTGGTGGAATGACAACGATACTACCACGGCATATATAGATTTCACAAAGCCAGACGCTCGCAAGTGGTACACTGATAGACTGGACCTGCTGAGGAGTTCGTACGGTATCGACAGCTTCAAATTTGACGCCGGTGAATCCAGTTGGACTCCACAGGTGAGATATTTAGTTTGCGAGCCAGAGGCCTTTTTTGTCAATTATTTCCTCTCGGTCAAAAATTTCTAAGCTGACTCAGGAGAAAATGAAGTTTTTATACATGGTTTTTAGGGTCTTTGGCTCAACGCACCCTCAAATCCACAGCTGACTTGCTTCATAACACTACTAACTTAACTATCTTAGGCGTTTTTTATAATGGATGGATAGTGCACCCGCCTGCGCTAACAGTTTGTAGACACAACTTATATTTCTAAAATAGATAAATAAATATATAACTACTAGATCAGTTTAGCAATATTGAACTCTAATTTCAACGTCTACATTTCAGATTCCAGTACTACAAGGCGATAAGAGAGATCAGCCAGGCATCATAACGGCCGAGTACATTAGGGCTGTCTCGAAGTACGGGCCTATGGTAGAAGTCAGATCAGGTCATGGGTAAGTACGACATCCATCACGTCACGTCTTTCAATGTATTATTTGAAGCTCTGATGGTCGTGGGTTCGATCCTCGCACGGTACAAACATTTGTATTCATGAGTATGATTGTTTATATAGGTCTGTTTGTTTTCTTTGTATATTAAGTATTTATAAAAAAACTAAGTATTTTATCAGTTGTCACAAGCTTTGCTTAGCTTGAAACTAGATGGCGCTGTGTGAATTGTTCAAGAATATTCCTAAAAATATGAAAAATATTATTCTACTGAAAAACCATATGTATAAGGATAGTGACTTTATTTACATTAACAGATACCTATTCTATATTGCCGTCTCTCTCTCTCTCTCTCTCTCTCTCTCTCTCTCTGTAAAATCCTCTAATACCATGTTTAGTAAATATACCAATATTACTTCCAGAACCCAAGACCTCCCGATCTTCGTCCGGATGACTGACAAAGATACCTACTGGACCTTCGAGAACGGTCTACCAACGCTGATCACGACGTTACTGCAGATGAACATAAACGGCTATCCCTTCGTGTTACCAGACATGATAGGGGGGAACGGGTACGATGAACCTCCCACTAAGGAGTTGTTCATCCGTTGGCTCCAAGCAAACACGTTCATGTTGAGTATGCAGTTCTCATACGTGCCGTGGGATTTTGACAACGAAGTAAGTTCTAAAAATATACTTCATATTTCCACAAAAAAACATAATTTCAAATTAATCATTATAACTATTCAAATTTGGAACATAGTTTAAAATTATTCTTTATATCTATTCAAATGTGGAATATAATTTCAAATTATTCTTTGTAACTATTCAAATGTGGAATATAATTTCAAATTATTCTTTATAACTAATCAAATGTGGAATATGATTTCAAATTATTCTTTATAACTATTCAAATGTGGAATATAATTTCAAATTATTATTTACAACTATTCAAATGTGGAACATAGTTTAAAATTATTCTTTATATCTATTCAAATGTGGAATATGATTTCAAATTATTCTTTACAACTATTCAAATGTGGAACATAGTTTAAAATTATTCTTTATATCTATTCAAATGTGGAATATGATTTCAAATTATTCTTTACAACTATTCAAATCTGGAATATAATTTCAAATTATTCTTTGTAACTATTCAAATGTGGAATATAATTTCAAATTATTATTTACAACTATTCAAATGTGGAACATAGTTTAAAATTATTCTTTATATCTATTCAAATGTGGAATATGATTTCAAATTATTCTTTATAGCTATTCAAATATGGAACATAATTTCCAATTATTGTTTATAACTATTCAAATGTGGAATATAATCTCAAATTATTCTTTATGTTTATTCAAATATGGAATGATTGATGATTTCAAGTTATTCTTTAAATGAGATATAAAGTTGGATTACACAAACAATTTAAAATTACATTACTATTATGATATTGCAGACTATTGAGATAAGCAAGAAGTTCATACAACTGCATGAGCAGTATGCGGATGAGATAATGCGTGCTTGCGAGAAGGCAGTGAGTTCTGGCGCGCCAGTCAACGCGCCGCTCTGGTGGATAGCGCCCGATGACGTCACCGCACATGACATATGGGATGGTAACTACTCTATATCACTTCTATAATTAAATTAAAATTCAATGTTTACTCTTACTCAGTATTTCGAACAATTTTATTAGAGGTTCCTTAGGACATGCGATGATTAATTTTGAGCTCACAATAAAAAAGTGTAAAATGCCAACTAAATATTTTATACTTCGACCCATCAAGGATATCAACCTGAATATTTTAATCTACATTTAAATTCTATACATTGGGAATATATTAACATAAAAAACCTGCCTTGTGTCGACTTGATGGTCGACACTTTTAACTCGATGTTGCTATTCCTTTTTGATGGACATGCTCCTGAAAAAAGGATTAAAATTAATGGCAAACATTCACTACCATGGGTAACCGATACCATCAGACGTATGATTGACTTGCGTAATAAAGCACTGTTAATGTATAGGAGGACAGGATTGGAGGTACATAATAGATATTATAAAGACCTTAAAAATCTCGTTCACAGTAGTATTGATCGGCAAAAAAGCGAGCTTACTATAATTATCATATAAACTCTCAACAAAGTAATGGTAAAATTTTCTGGAAAAAGTTAAAGGAAAATATTTCCGTGGACTCCACTAAAAGTGACATACTACCGTTCTTCTTCAATAACCCCGATAACATTAATGCACATTTTTTAAATGTACCTGGACCAAATAATGTGTCTTTATCAAAACTCACTTACTTTGAGTTTCATAGGTATGGTACAGCTACTTTTCAATTGCAGCCGGTGTCAGAGAGTGATGTCGCTAGGTATATCTCGGCAATAAAATCTAATGCATTGGGTAGTGATCGGGTGAGTAGAGACATGATACTACTGACTCTTCCTCGTACACTAGCAATTATAACCAACATAATTAATAAATCTATTGTTACGTCAAAAGTTCCTAGTCAATGGAAACATGCATTCTTTAGGGCCTTTATCCAAAATTAATAATCCTGCCGAGTTTAATGATCTCAGACCTATAAGTATACTATCCTTTCTGTCCAAAGTCTTGGAGAAAGCCGTTCATACTCAGTTGCTGAAATACGTTGAAACAAACAACATCCTGCCAAAGTATCAGTCAGGGATTCCGTAAAGGTAAAAGCACTACCACTGCTTTACTGGATGTTGTAGATAATATTCTTGCTTCACAAGATGTTGGTAATGGTACTATTTTGACTTTACCGACTACTCTCGCGCTTTTGATTGTTTAAATGTAAATCTCTTTTTGCTTTCAAAGCTGACATATTATGGTTTGGATCGGCACTCTGTGGGATGGTTTCATAGTTACCTTAGCAACCGATACCAATCGGTAAAAATACAAAGCTGGATGGTTCCTACTCAGTGTCGGAGAAAATGGCTGGTAGACCGTGGAAAAGTACCTCAGGGTTCGATACTTGGGCCACTTCTTTTCATTATTTATTGTGCTGACATTGAAAATGCAATAAACTATTGTAATTTTCATTGTTACGCTGATGACATACAAATTTATATCTCTGGAACACCCGCTGCGATTACTGACGCTGCTCATAAACTTAATAGAGACTTGGAGAAAATTGCTGCCTGGTCACAAGAAAATGCATTGGTTATTAATCCTAACAAAACAAAGTATATGATTCTTGGATCAAAAAAACAAATTACTGACATAATAAATAAAAATATTACAGTAAATATCCTGGACCAGAGTATAGAACGAGTTGAAGAAGCGCGAAACTTGGGGATTATTTTTGACAGTCGGCTGCGATTTGAAAAGCATATTTTAAATGTAGTACAACAATGTTTTTATCGCCTTAAGGTCCTATATAAAATTCGTAATTTATTATCGGAAAGAGTTCGTATTACACTATGCGAATCATTAATCCTATCCAAACTTAATTATGGAGACATTGTGTATGGACCACGACTATTGGCTAGAACTCAACGCCTGACTCAAAGAGTGCAAAATGCATGTTGTCGTTTTTGCTTTAATATTCCCCCTCGAAGCCATATTAGTCCCTATTTAAACAATGCTTCAATTTTAAATATGGAATCGCGAAGACAGTTACACCTGGTTTGTCTATTGTTCGATGTAATAAAAAGTGAACAGCCAGTTTATCTCTTTAAAAAACTAAATTTCTCTTCTCGTATGTATGGATGCAGATTCATTTGTTCGAAATTATCATTTCAAGTACACAGAACTGTGGCATTTACTGGCAGCTTCCGCTACCTAGCAACAAAATGTTGGAACAACATCCCGCCACCATTTAGGCATCTGACTACCGTACACAGTTTTAAAAAACATCACAAAGAATATTTATTAAAAAAACAAATTTTAGGCATTCCACGGAAATTTCTTGGCGGACGCGGTTGTAATCTCCGGGAAAGGTTCGCACCCCCACAAAAAAAAATTGTTTTTTATTTCTCTATGTTACTCTTATTAATATTTTCTTTTTTTTTTTTCTTTTTGTTGATCCCAAATATCTTACCACTCAGTTAAAATTATATCAAATTATACTCTGAACTATTTACATTATTTTTATTATAAACACACCACACAGACAATCACTAATAATATTGCTCCTTTTTATTTTATATTTATTTTAATTATTATTTTCACGTACCCTCAAATGGGTTGAAGCTGAAAATCAGTGTTTTGGGCCATGAACAATGTTCCACGCTGCCAAAGCTTCGACCTTTTTGTATTGCTACAGATCACACATAAAACACAATTTTATAAATCTTATGTTGTATTATGTATTTTTATATTCTTATGAACATGTTATGTGTGTGACTAGTAACAAACAAATAAACGATATATCTATCTATATATCTATCTTACAGTAAATATAGGGACACTTTTTCCGTTATTCTAAAAATTCATAATAATTCCAATATTTAGTACATTTTTACAATTTTTTATACTCTCTTGGATTGTTCATACGAATCAGCTAAACCTATACTAATATTATAAAGCTGAAGAGTTTGTTTGTCTGAATGACCTAATCTCAGGAACTACTGGTTCGAATTGAAAAATTATTTTTGTGTTGGATAATCCATTTGACAAGGCTTTAAGCTAAATAACATTACGCTACGACCAATAGACGCGAAGCATCAGTGAAAAATATTGCAAAAACGGGGAACATTATTGTATTTGTACATATAAGTGCTTCCGTTGCGTGCGCTGCGTAGTGTGTAGGTTTGATAACCACGCGAACGAAATCGCGGGCACAGCTAGTGTAAGTGCAGAATGAACGGTTCATATTTTTTTAATGAAAATCGAATTATTCACTTACGTGTAATTCTAAAAAACACGTTTTATTCTATTCTATTCTAGAGGACTGTCGATCTTATTTGCTAGCAATATACCATTTCAGGTTGACCTTCATGCGGTTCCCCCTGGAAACCATCGTAATAATATATAATAATATAAATAAAAAAATAAAATATTTGGTGTATTTGTCACGATGGACTAATTGGCCAGCTGGTTTCTCATCTTATCTGCCTCGGTGTCACTGTTGGCCATTGTAAATCCGTGGAGTTGTATAAAAATGGAAATTAAATAAATATAATAATATTCATAAATTAAAAAACCTGGACGAATATGTCTGTGGAAAAATGTATTTAAATATAAAAAAAAAAAACAATCCCCTTCCCCCCTCGTATGTGCGTAGAATTCATGGTGGGGGAGCGTATCTTGGTGGCTCCTGTGCTGGAGCGCGGGGCTCGCACGCGGGACGTGTACCTGCCGGCGGGCGCGTGGCGGCCGCAGGGCTCCGCCGCCGCCATCCACGGGCCGCAGTGGCTGCGCGACCTGCCCGCGCCCCTGCACACGCTGCCCTACTTCGTGCGCGACGAGGCTCCATAGTAACCAGACATTGAGGGTGACGCTGCTGGGAGTCACAACGCGAGCTTCAAAGCATTCGTGGCCCGGGTCCCCACCAACATGCTGTCTACCTTCATGAAGGACGACTACTGGCCGAAGAGGGTGGTGTATCGCTGCTACCGTGGCATTTTGCTGTCGTCAGTGCCGTGACCATAGAGACAATTAGAATTGATATTTTATTATTCCCTATGTATGTTAGTCTATAAGGTATTTATAATAGAGGTCAAGTAGCCTTAATTAAATAAAGGCCTCTGTAGTTGACTTTTAAGTATTATTACAAATCGTTCGTATGGGAGTATAGAAAAGTGTTGTTGTTAATTAGAGATTAAGAGCTACTAGCGTACTTCAAGGTATATATTCTAAAAAAAAATTTGCGCAATCGTCTCTGCTCTTTGCGCTTAGCAACACATTCAGTGATTCATTTCTATATTCCAGAAGATTAATAGTAATTGACTGACACCTAACGAAAATAAGTGTTACGTACCTAATTTTGACATACAATGTGTTATAATTTTTGTGTATCAATTTATTTTTTATTAATTCTATTTAGATTAGTATAATTTTACAAATATGTAGACTATTTTATGAATAATTAGCTGATCCCGCGACTTCGTCCGCGTGGAGGTTAACTTTATTTTTCTAAAATAAAAGTAGTCTAAGTTACTCCTTAATGTCCCGTCAAAATCGGTCCAGCCATTTCAGAGATTACCCGGAACAAACAGACAGACAGACAAAAATTGTAAAAAATGTTATTTTGATGTATGTACCGTATTTATATTCATATGCATGTAGTAAAAAACGGCTATTTCAATATTACAAACAGACATTCCAATTTTATTTATATGTATAGATGATATTCTTTTGATATTTATACTATATTTGAAGTATAGAAATACATTTAATAATATAGTTACATACTGTAATGTAAAAATATTTCTACCTAGTGTAAATGTAAATTAATACATATATGATACATAGAATTTAAAATTTATTTTAAAGATACATAGAAGGCCTTTCATTTAATTATCCGAGATAAATGGAGATTAATAATTAAATCAAACATATTTAACATATATTATACATATTTATTTATGTATTAACAGTAACATGTGTGACGAGACCCTGCCCTATATGTTTAAAGTCTTCTATTATTGCCTGTGTGTTTATCTTGTACTTTGTCTCTCCATCCACCACCACTGGTCTTAAAGCATTTGCGTTCAGTATCTGAAAACATTTAAGAGATATATGTTACTAATATTATAAACGCAAAAGTTTGTATCGATGACTGTTTGTTACTCATTCACGGAAAAATTACTGAACTGATTTTGATTAAACTTTACAGTAATACAACTTATACATCGGAATAATATGATATAAAAGAAATAGTGACAGTCATGGTCATAAAGATCATGGAAGAGAAAAGCATTATACCGAGCCCAAATAAATGGGATAAGGAAGAAGCAGATGATGATGATGATGATGAAACCGAGATAGTATATGTATACACTAGCAAAGCGGTAAACGTTGTTATAAATTAATATCGCTATTAAATAATTGGCCCTTGAAACTAAAGGGTAAAGTTTATAAATCTATCATAAGACCTGTCATTTTGTATGGATCTGAATGTTGGGCATGTGGCAGAAATGCGAATGTTAAGATGGATCTGTGTGGTCACCAGGAATGACAGAATAAGGAATGTGTATATACGAGGAAGTTTGAAAGTTGCGCCGGTTATAGAAAAGTTGCGAGGTAACAGATTGAGCTGGTATGGACATGTTATGCGGAGGAACGAGGACCATGTCTTATGGAAAGTGTATAATATGAATGTGGATGGATGTAAAGGGAGGGGACGCCCTAAGAAAAGATGGATGGATTGTGTGAAAGATGATATGAATAAAAGAAGAGTATGTTTAGATATGACGACTGATAGAGAGCAGTGGAAGAGAATGACACACTGCGCCGACCCCAAATAATGGGATAAAGGCAAGGCAATGATGATTAAAAAATTGGGGATAGTAAAAGGGTGAAAACATACGATATATTTTTAATACAGATTTATAATAAAAAACTTCAAAACAAAAACACAGTACTAGTTGAAAAGAAAAGGATATCTTTTTACTTATACAATAATATATACATATTCTTTATAAAATTGACTATTTTCAAATATTAGAGATTGTTTACCTGTAAATCCCTGGTTTCGGCGACGTCTGGTTTCCACAATACAGCGATTACATCGCCACCGTACGCATCGTGGAAAAACATGGCGTACTCATTATATGCACTCTGAAAAAAATATATACTGCGTTACCCAGTGGCGAATTAGGGCTAAAGAGGGGGAGCCCTAACTTGTTGGCCGAGAAAGTTTATAAACCTTTTTTAAAAAAAACAAGGCGTACTCATTGTATGCATTTTGAAAAATACAGTTAATGTATTACCCAGTGGCGAATTAGGGCTAAAGAGGGGCCTAACCTGTGAAACCGGGGAATTTTAAAAACTTTTAAAAAAAAAACAAGGCATACTCATTGTATGCACTCTGAAAAATATATATACTGTGTTACCCAGTGGCGAATTAGGGCTATAGAGGGCCCTAACCTGTTAACCGGGGATTTGTTTAAACCTTTATAAAAAAAAAAACAAGGTGTACTCATTGTATGCACTCTGAAAAATATATATACTGTGTTACCCAGTGGCGAATTAGGGCTATAGAATAGAATAGAAAATCATTTATTCAAATAACCGGGGATTACATTTAAACCTTTTTGAATTAGTCATTACATTTTTTGATCTACCACTCGTTCGGAAACTGTCTCATCACAAGAAGAACGAGTCAGTACGCTCTTTTAACATAATTTAATATATTTTTAGTTTAGTGTGTGAATACAAAACGTTGTTTTGCATTAAAATCAAAAAAAAATAATAGTGAATATATAACCCTGGTTAACATTTAGGGGGATGAAAAATAGATGTTGGCCGATTCTCAGACCTACTCAATTCGCTCACAAAATTTCCTGAGAATCGGTCAAGCCGTTTCGGAGGAGTATGGGAACGAAAACTGTGACACGAGAATTTTATATATAAGATTATTAGTAAAAAAATTTTATAAATAATATGAAGCTCACTCGCAATTCCTCCAAGTATCTCATGACCGGATGGAACTCCACCACGGGTATGACGTCATCGATTACCGATGCGGGTGGCGCCCTCTGCCGGGGAGTCTGGTCGAGCCGCTCGCCGTAATACGGGACCAATGCGGCTTCGAGGTGAATTATGACGTCATATCCGGAAAGCGATGGCACAAATACAGGCTGAAACATAAAGAAATGTATATCTTTATGACCGAAATTCCAGATTGGATAAGCAAAGGGGGTCAAGAGTCGATGTTGTGATACAAAAGAATACTAAACGAATACATTATATCAATAATTAAAACTTATCATCTCGTGATTGACAGATTCTGTTTGCCATTCTAGAATGGCAAACTATCGGTCAAAAATAGGACAACGATATTTTTTTAATCTGTCTGGACAAAATGACACAATGGGACATTCATCATAATTCACCTAGTTATGTTAAAAATGCTTTACCCTACAACAAATTAATAATCATTGTCTTGCCTTCACTTCATTAAATGGAATCGAAAAGATTTGTCTGGACAAATTAAAAAATAATCTTTCTCCAACAATGAGACATTTATCATAATTCACCTAGTTAAATTAAAAAAAATGCTTTACCCTACAACAAATTAATAATCATTGTCTTGCCTTTCGGCCATTGGTGTCCCATTAAGTAATATAACTAGCTACTCCCCCCGGCTTCGCACGGGTGTACAAAGTGTACATGTATTATATATACAAAACTTCCTCTTGAATCACTCATCTATTAAAAAAATCGCTTCAAATTCCGTTGCGTAGTTTTATAGATGTAAGCATACATAGGAACGGACAGACAGCGACAGCGACTTTATTTTATACTATGTAATGGTAAATGTCAATTACCAGTATATTTTCCTTCATGTCCTCAAGCAGGGAACTGCTGAGGTACTGGAGTGCGCTCTTCGCCAAGGTTTGGACCCTGACCAGCACCTGCGGGGTCGGAGAGTGTCGACTCCACGCTGACGGCAGCTCACCGTCGTACGGCGTCACGATGTACATCCGCGGGGTTTTATCCTCGCGGGATGAGAACTGCCGCTCCAAGGTGGAGATTTCTTCCGCTGCATATCATCACAATCCAGGTTAGACAGTTAAAGCTTTTATTTGCGTTAAAGGCCACACACACACACAAGGTACACTGATCAGTTAACAACCTTACTCCTTACTAATATTATAAATGGCAAAGTAAGGATGTTTGCTACGATTTCACACAAAAACTACTGAACTGATCCTCAGGAAATTTTGTACACATATTCTTAGAGGTATTAGAATGAACATAGGATACTTTTTATATAAAAAAAATATTTTTGATTCAATGGGAGCGAAGCCGCGAGTAGAAGCTAGTAATATTATAAACGCGAAAGTTTGTGAGTATGGATGGACGTTTGACGACTCTTTCACGCAAAAACTACTGAACGGATTGTGATGAAACTTTACAGTAATATAGCTTATACATCAGAATAATACATAGGCTATAATTTAAACGGATATTTAGTAAATTGGGAGAAATATAATGATAAATGTCATGTGAGTGTGATGCAGACGAAGTGGCACGGGTCAGCTAGTATGAATACAAATTCATTTCTGCAAATCTTGCAGCTTACCCGTGAAATCATCATTAAAGTCTAGAGTCACGACCTCTTGCGACCAGTCGGTTTCTACGAGCAGAGTCAGGGCGCGAGCGAATAGTGCCACAGGACTGATGGTAGGTGGTAACGGTGAAGGCCGCATGCTAGCCGCCGCTACCACCAGCTCGGCCGTCACTTCCGGCATAGCGGAGCCTAGCAGCTGGGAACAGAACCAGCGCCTGAGTAGGCACGCTGCTGGACCGAACGACGGTTGCTTTTGGTGCAATCTGCAAAGAATCACACATATTTAAGGGTGTTTTTTTTTCTAATGGATGATAATGGAATGGTGCACCCGTCTGCGCTAACGGTTTACGCTGGCAAGGTACCAGTGAAGGTTAAAACATAAATATGATGCCATGTCAGTAAGCCCATCCTGACAAATTCACCTGGAATTTATCATGATGGTTTCCAGAGGAAAGGTGGAAGTCAATCTGACATGGTATGTTGCTAGCAACGGATTCATTAATGCACATTACCAGCAATCCAATTCCCCCTGAATGGGGATTGTTAGTAATGTGGGCTTATGATGCTAACGAAGGTTGCGTCTGGTGCAATCTGCTAGGAATTACTAATTTTTAGGGGGGAAAGGGGATTGCTAGTAATGTGGACTAATGAGTACCAATGCTAACGAAGTTTGCGTCTGGTGCAATCTGCTAGGAATTACTAACTATTTGGGGGAAATGGGATTGTTAGTAATGTGGACTAATGAGTCCACTGCTAACGAAGGTTGCGTCTGGTACAATCTGCTAGGAATCACTAACTTTTAGGGGGAAATGGGATTGTTAGTAATGTGGACTGATGACTCCATTGCTAACGAAGGTTGTGTCTGGTACAATCTGCTAGGAATCACTAACTTTTAGGGGGAAATGTGATTGTTAGTAATGTGGACTAATGAGTCCAATGCTAACGAAGGTTGCGTCTGGTGCAATCTGCTAGGAATTACTAACTTTTAGGAGGAAATGGGATTGTTAGTAATGTGGACTAATGAGTCCAATGCTAACGAAGTTTGCGTCTGGTGCAATCTGCTAGGAATCACTAACTTTTAGGGGGAAATGGGATTGTTAGTAATGTGGACTAATGAGTCCAATGCTAACGAAGTTTGCGTCTGGTGCAATCTGCTAGGAATCACTAACTTTTAGGGGGAAATGGGATTGTTAGTAATGTGGACTGATGAGTCCAATGCTAACGAAGATTATGTCTGGTACAATCTGCTAGGAATTACTAACTTTTAGGAGGAAATGGGATTGTTAGTAATGTGGACTAATGCGTCTGGTGCAATCTGCGAGGATTTACTAACTTTTAGGGGAAATGGGATTGTTAGAATGTGGACTAATCATGCCTAACGAAGTTTGCGTCTGGTGCAATCTGCGAGGAATCATTTTGGGAGATTGTTTATTTATGTGGACTAATGAGTGCAATGCTAACGAGTTTGCGTCTGCAATCTTAGGAATCACTAAAAAAATTGTTAGTAATGTGGACTAATGAGTCCAATGCTAACGAAGTTTGCGTCTGGTGCAATCTGCTAGAATCACTAACTTTTAGGGGGAAATGGGATTGTTAGTAATGTGGCTAATGAGTCCAATGCTTTGCGTCTGGTGCAATCTCTAGGAATCACTAACTTTTAGGGGGAAATGGGATTGTTAGTAATGTGGACTAATGAGTCAATGCTAACGAAGTTTGCGTCTATGCAATCTGCTGAATCACTCTTTATGGGATTGTTAGTAATGTGGACTAATGAGTCCAATGCTAACGAAGGTTGCGTCTGGTGCAATCTGCTAGGAATTACTAACTTTTAGGAGGTGGGATTGTTGTAATGTGGACACGTAACGAAGTTTGCGTGTGTCGGACTTTTATGGGATTGTTAGTAATGTGGACTAATGAGTGCAATGCTAACGAAGTTTGTTGGTGCAATCTGCTAGGAATCACTAACTTTTAGGGGGAAATGGGATTGTTATAATGTGGACAGATGCTAAAAGTTTGCGTCTGGTGCAATCTTCAGGAATCACTAACTTTTAGCGGAATGGGATTGTTAGTAATGTGGACTAATGGTCCAATGCTAACAGTTTGCGTCTGGTGCAATCTGCTGTGAATCACTAACTTTTGAAATGGGATTGTTAGTAAATAGAGTCCAATGCTAACGAAGGTTGCGTCTGGTGCAATCTGCTAGGAATTACTCATTTTTAGGAGGAAGGCGGATTGTTAGTAATCTGGACTATTGAAAATACTCTTTATTGTTATGCTTCATGCCTAACGAAGGCCTTCTGGTGCAATCTGCGAGGAATCATTTTGAGGAGTTTATTTACGATTCTGTTACACAAAAAAAATACTTACCCGTGTAAAGCGCCCCTCAGCCTCGGCAGTACCACAGTATCATAATGCAACTCAATGCTTTCCTCGCTCTCTACAAACTTCACCACACCATTGTCTGTCTGTCTGCGTATCAACGTGATCTCTTTAGGGTGAGCGATTGCGAGCCGGAATACTAGACCGTCTTTGAGCACGTCGAAGTGTGTCGGATAGGCTTGCGTGGGGATTTCGAATTGTTTGTTGAGACGCTCGGCTATTTGCAGATGAAATGCTGCTTTCAGGCAGCGGAATGCTTCTATATCGCCTGGCCATTTTCCGCTGTGCCCTGATATTAATAGAAAGAAAATTTAGAAAGGATATTATTTATAACAAAAATAATATTTAATAATATAATAATAGAAAACCCATCATAATGTAAAGATTTTATGTATATAACATAAAATCTTTACATTAAGATGGGTTTTCTATAGGTATATAGAAGTACACATCTTTATTATATGTTTATAACTTTTTTTTAAATTAATCGAAATATAGACTTTACTTCCGATCGTCGCGGGTTCGATTCCTCGCACGGTCAAACATTTGTATTCATGAGTTGTTTGTATCGATCTGGATATTTTATATGTATATTATGCATTTAAAAAATGTAACATAAGCTCTGCTTACCTTGGCAGGTAAGGAAAAACATTAATAAAGAAAAATTACGTTCATAAGAGTCTTATAATGTCCTATATGAATAAATTATTTTTGATTTTTATTATATATAGTAAACTTACCTAGTTCAATAATAACTTTAGACACAGGCGTGTATTGAGGCATAGAGGTGGCTCTTTCTGAATTCTTGATAAGGCAACAGTTGCCCTTCTGCCAGGGCTTGTTCTGCGGACGTAGGGCCAGAGGTGGCATAGGTTCCGAGTAGCTGAATACTGATGATATGCCTGCAAACATAACAGATAATAATAATAATAAATAAATAACTCAGGACTATTAACACAGTGCTATTTAGTCCCGCGGTAAACAGATCCTGTGTCCTTGCACGGTGCAAATCTTTGTATTCAAGAGTGTGATTGTTTGTATTGGTCTGGGTATCTTCTATGTATATTATACATGTATTCATAAAAAATAAATATAAGTATTTCTATCAATGGTCAAGTACCTATAACACAAGCTGTTTACCGTGGGACTAGATGGCGCTGTATTAATTGTCCAGGGTGATTTATTTATTCATTACTAATGTCCACGCGCAACTCCATCTGCATCTCACTTACATTTATCATTATATTTTATATAATAGCTTTTAAAATTATATGTATATATGTTATTCTGATGTATAAGGTATATTATCGACAAATTTCATCACAATCCGTTCAGTAGTTTTTGCGTGAAAGAGTAACAAACATCCATCCATACTGACAAACTTTCGTGTTTATAGTATTATTTAGATTTATTTATTCATAAAAAAAATATATAAGTATTTATTTATTCATAAAAAAAATATATAAGTATTTATATCAGTAATCTAAAACAAGCGTTGGTTACCTCGGGAATAGATAACGTCCAGCAAGCTGTAGTTGTGAATTATCAGTCATAAAGAATTAAAGGCAATAACATGTAAAAATAGTAAAAATTAATAATTTGTAATTGTATATATTTAATTACTAAAATTGTATAATAACATTTTTTAATCAACAAAGACCATGATCCGGCCTGCTGTCTTCTCTTCCGCTTGCTGTGCCCAACAGGGTCCATAATTAACCTACTTTGAAATGTGTCTGTCTGTCTATCTATCTACTGTAACATATGAGCAAAACTTAAATAAATAAAAAAAAAAAAAAAAATTAACACATTAAAGGCATGACCACGGGTGTGTTCACACGTTGTCGATCATACTTTAATTGAAATAAATATATGTCAACCTAAAATTATTGTACACTAAAAACATATTTTAAAAATAATATACATAACTAGCTGTCCCGGCAAACGTTGTTTTGCCATATAAATTAATAAAGCTATAAAAAATAGGGGTTGATGATAGAAGGGTGAAAATTTAGGATTGTATGTATTTTTGTATGTTGTATCATAAAAAATTTTGTCTGCTACATTTAGGGGGATAAAAAATAGAGATTCTCAGACCTACTCAATACGCTCACAAAATGTCATGAGAATCGGTCAAGCCGTTTCGGAGGAGTATGGGACCGAAAACTGTGACACGAGAATTTTATATATAAGATTAACAATGTAATAATGCCGGTGGGAAATAAGATTTTTTAATGCGGACTTCGTAAACAACTACATTAGTTTATAAAAAAAACTGTTTTGCAGTTGCCATATTGTCGACTACATACCAGGGATGTTATGGATATAAAATTTCGGACACGGATAGGTTTCGGATATAGGAATGATTATTATACCGGATCGGATATGAAATTATCGGATTATCCGTTGCGGATAAGTCATATTATTTTTTTAGAATTTTAAAATACAAATGGTTACATAACGAGTCTCGTTATGTAACCAATACAAAATTATGTTATCCGACACATTTAATTTCATTGTTAAAAATAGTAAAAATTATAAATATAATATAATATAAATTATGCTGCCCACCTTCATGAGGGAGGACTACTGGCCGGTGTATCGGCACTACTGTGAAAGATTGCCACATCGCCTTACTTCCGACGGTCATAGGTTCGATTCCTCGCACGATGCAAATATTTATATTGTTTACATTACGTTACATATTCGTTTGTTATCGATGCTGCCATCGCCAGAGTCAGGTCTGAGAATCTAGTCCCACTAGATGACGCTATAGGGCGATGGTTATCACCTCACCACTGTAGCGTTGTATGTAATGAGGTGTCGGTACATAATACATAGTATATTGTAGTATGTAGGTAATGAGTATACCGGTAAAATAATTGTACTATTTATTGTACATTAATACGTTTATTATATAGTGTACTACATGGCATATTAGTAACGTGTACACTCGACGCGGAGTAGGAACGTAGACTGACTTTACTTGTAGACTTAAATCTACGTCATCTTAAGAGGTACTAATGGAAGGGTTTCGAGTGATGACAGAAATATTACAAGTGTAGACACAGCACCGTGTGAATCGTCCAGGGTTATTATTACACAATGAAGATGGTAATCTACAAATACTCACGGTATTTAAGTTTCAATAGGTAATCAATGATTTGGCGCGTGATGCCGCGCTGTTCGATGTTGCTGTCCGCCTCCCACACGCACGTCTCCGTGATGGACCCGTCTTGAAACCGACGCAGCTCAGATTTGTCACCCCAGAACGCTCTAAGGACGAATAAATTGGAATTAACTGTAGGATCTAAGTAGACGCTACAGCAGACTTGAACATAAATGTTCGTATCATAGGAGGAGTCAAACCCTTGGTAAATTATACGACAAATCCTTAAAAATCCAAATCGATCGATCGATTCGATCAAACCCTTACTAATATTATACGACAAATCCTTAAAAATTCAAATCGATCGATCGATTCGATCAAACCCTTACTAATATTATACGACAAATCCTTAAAAATTCAAATCGATCGATCGATTCGATCAAACCCTTACTAATATTATACGACAAATCCTTAAAAATTCAAATCGATCGATCGATTCGATCAAACCCTTACTAATATTATACGACAAATCCTTAAAAATTCAAATCGATCGATCGATTCCATCAAACCCTTACTAATATTATACGACAAATCCTTAAAAATTCAAATCGATCGATCGATTCGATCAAACCCTTACTAATATTATACGACAAATCCTTAAAAATTCAAATCGATCGATCGATTCGATCAAACCCTTACTAATATTATACGACAAATCCTTAAAAATTCAAATCCATCGATCGATTCGATCAAATCCTTACTAATATTATAAATGTGAAAGTAGGGATGTTTGTTACTCTTTCACGCAAAAACTACTAAACCGATCATCATGAAATTTTGGACACATGTTCTTGGAGGTATTAGAATGAACATAGGATACTTTTTATCAAAAAATAGTTTTATAGCGAGCGAAGCCGCGAGTAAAAGCTAGTCTTTAATAATTGAAATTAGTTAGTTTTTAATAACCCACGAACATACCTGATGTATGTGAGAGAAGTTATAAATGAAACTAAGGCAGGAAATTGTTATTAAATAAAAGAAATGTTTTGAAAATTTTATTTAGTCGTAACAAACTGTTAAACTGACAGATGTATGGAGGCTTTTGGCCTTATGAAACTAGTATGGAATGAGTCATCTGCGAAATTACTACACTCATCAACATCCATATTGTTAATTTATTATATTGTAAATTTATTGTACATGCATATGCAATTAAAAATAAATAAATTACGCATAGCAATCAAACCGTATTATAAGGCAATTATAATACCAAATAAACTCAACACAACCACTTTTAATAATCATATTTTTTACTCTCCCGCTCATTCTGAACACAGACTCATCACAAGAAAAACGAGCAAGAAAATTGTGTTTTGTTCTTTTGAATAAATTATTTTAAATGAATAAATACACAGTAACAAGTAAGTGGCATGCGATAATCAACAGAAACCGCTACGCATTCTTAGTGCAATCAGATAACATAGTCAGCGCTATGAATTTAAAGTTTTTTCTACAAAAACACTACTATAATTTACCAACTCTTCAATTTGCTTTACAGCTTTGTTTACAAAGAAAGTTGAAAATTATTTTCTGTTATTACCTAAATTCTTCTGCTTCTGGTAAATTGGCTGGTGGCCCTTTCTCTACTGCATTGAAACAGGTGTCAGGGTTCAGGATAATACCAAAAGATATGCTCTCTGCATTACTAAAAACAAAATAAATAATTAGACATTTGCAATAGTCCACATTAATAATCATAAAAGAATGAGAATATAAATAAATTATAATATAAGTGTTAATTAAAATAGAATAAATAAAATCAAAATATCTTTTAAATAATATTTACTGAGCAAAGTCTATTACACTACCTAACACACTAAACTAAATTACTAACTAAATTGAAATTAAAAAATCATTTGTTCATGCAGGACATTTTAGTCACTTATGAATGTCAAATTTTTAGTATGTATTATAATTTATTTAGTAAAATAAAACTATTAACTACTAAAAAATATTTTTCATAAAAATAAAACTGCAACTAAAAAAATTTAAGCTTACTCTTTCTTTGCCTTCTCGGGTTTAATTTTAACGGGCCATGACAAGTCAGCATCTACCAACTGCAGTATCACATTCACCCTGTTCCCTAACCCTTTGGTTAAAAGAGCGTGAAGGGTGTCTATGACGAGAGTGCGTTCGTCTAAACCATAGTTAACACGAGACTGTGTGGGCACTGTAGCTATCACCGATTGCTTAATATTACTGAAATTTTTGAACCTGTAAAACAGTTATTTATATTACTATCTTAATCTTAATAACACCCATAATGATTATGGATGTTTGTTACTCTTTCAAGCAAAAACTACTGAAGGGATTTTGATGAAGTATACATAAAATATAATTTACAGCAATATAGCTTATATATCAGAATAACATATAGGCTATAAATATTAGGCAGGTGAAACCGCGGGTATATCTAGTATATGATATAGCTTTGAATAAGAATAGCCTGTTTAAAAAAATACTTAAAGGAATTACTATTTAAAAACAATATTATAATGTAAGTGAATATTTTATTACATTTTAGTTTTTATGTAATATTTAATTAATTTAATTAATGTCATATTATAATAGATAAATGTATGAATAATATTAAATTATATGTTATAGTTAGTTATAATAATAATAATGTTATGTTTACATGCCCCAACAGATTTTATAATGATCTAAAATCAATTATGAACATCTTTCATTGTAATATCATGGAATGCAATAAATATTGAGTATTGAATATTGAGTACCTGTAAAACAATTAAGAGACACATTGATATAATAGTAGTAGCATATGGATTGAATTAAAAAATATATACCTCAGTATATGATCAAATTGTAGCAGAGGCCGGATGGGAGTCATGAAAATAGGTATGAAACTATTAATCTTCCCGTTATCCAGCATTTCAACAGATATAGCACACTCCCTCTTCAACGCATCATAAGTGCCCTTACACATCTGCCAACAGACATTGTAGCAGCCAGTCTTGTCCAGAAATACCACAGGAAAATGTTGTAGGAATTCTTCCAGTTGCGGTGTGTTGTCTCCTTTGTGGAGAGATATCCCTTTTGTGTCCCATTCTGATGTTCCTAGAAAAAAAATTACATCAGTATAATCTAGTATATCTAAAATAATTACTAATATTATAAATGTGAAAGTTTGTGAGTATGTTACTCTTTCACACAAAAACTATTGGATGGATCTTGATGAAACTTTACAATAATTTAGCTTTTACGTCAGAATAACACATATGCTATAATTTAAAAAGATATAATGTATGTGAGAGGAAAAAAAAAAAACCCCGTCCCGCGCGCGGCCCATTAAACATCATTTTTGAGCAGCTCCACGGTCAAAAACATCTCGGCTGGAGTTGTAAAAAAATGGAAATTAAATAAATATTATAATATTAAAGTAAATTAAAAAAGGCACGGACGAATATGTCTGTGGAAAAATGTATTTAAATATAAAAAAAAAAAATGTATGTGGGAGAAACATAATGATAAATGTGAAGTAAGTGTGATGCATACGTAATTGCATGGGTCAGCTAGTGATTTATATTAAATGAAATTATTTTGAGTCTTGATTGATTTGATATAATTTAATTTAGTTAATTTTGAATAATACATACTTATTAATTATATTTAAAAGAGAAAGAGAAGATATCCAGAATTTATTACACTAGTAAATATGTTTTATAATGAATGAATTTAATAATAATCATTTATTCAGCATAAAAAGAGTACAGAGTAAAAAAGAAAACTTAAAAACTAATAATCGTCCATGCTGAAAAGGCTTCCACTCAGCTGGTGCCGCTATTAATATACATTAAGTAATTTGAACTGTAGTTTGAAAGAAAAATAAATTTATTTTGACTACAGTTCAAACTATTTTATCTTTATTTATTTATAGATTTATACATTATACTGATAGTGAAGTTAATGCCGATTTTGTTTATTGCTATTTCGCTGCCTCATTCTTCAGGTTATCCAGAGACAGTCATATATTTATCGAAGATACAACAAATATTTCATAGTTAAAAATACAATACATCATCCAATGATATCAATAAATGAAATTAGAACTTGTTTTGTATTTGATTTATGCACAAATTAAGCCTGTGTGAATTGAAAATGAAGCAACAAGTTACATTAAATATATACTTACTTAGAGCAATCCATACATTCCTTATAATCTGATAGCTACTCATAATATTGTTAATTCTCTTTGTTTGCACCAAATATGCAACAATCATACTAACAATATGGCCTGACACTTGCAATTTCCTTTGCCTTAACCAAATCTTTAATAAAACAACTGCCTGCTTCAGGTTTTCACTCTTCAATAATACTTCTCTTAAATAGTTCTCATTTTCTGATGCCGTCAGATCTGTTAACACACTGCTGTTGTAATAGGGACTTGGAGGTCCCACCTCTACATTACTCTCTGCATTATCTGCTTCTAATAACCACGTTTCCCTCAAATTATTACGAGATGGACTAAATCGATGTAATTTATATGCTTCTGGTTCACAAATTAAGTCGATACGTACAGCTACAAAGTTTCCAAGCTTCCCTGCCGGTTTAAAATCCAATACAGGTTTAGTTTCGCAACCGTTCGGCCAGGAATACTTCAATTCCTCAATGATATTAGCATTTTTCAAATGTGAAGCAATAACAGCTAGATATGCAGCTCTTTTCTTATGATATCTGTAGTTTATAGAGTCATTTTTAGTATATGTAACAGCTGGCACTGTGATCTGTATGTCGACTCTGAGTTTTGAGTTTATTGGACACTTTAAACCATATGAACCTACAATTTCAATGTCGGTGAACTTGTGGAACTTAAACATGCATTTAGTCTTCTTCAATTTATTACTTATCGGCAATTTTACCTTAAGATGCTTCTCTAGAATTTGTTCACTAAGATCATACTCTTTGTTATCTTCTCCTATAGACTGCAAATGAGTTTTCAAGTCGACTAACCATAGCTGCAGCTTCTTTTCGACCTTTTCTTTAACTTTCACCTCTTCTAGTATCTCTTCGACTTGTAAACGGAACAGATTAGAGTTAAATAAGTTCTCGGTTTCTTGTAACCTGTTTAATTCGTTCACGGTCGGTTGTCGATACAAATTTTTTATGCGTTTCTTGCCGTCTTTGTTAGGTTCATTTGCTTGTTTATCTCCATTTTCAGCAAGATTTTTAGTGTCGTTGTCTTCAGATATAATACTATCTATTTTCTACAGAAATTATAAAAATATTAGCATACTGTACCACAACAACGTATGTAAATTGTTCGACAGAACTTTCATGAGTGGTTATTCATAAAAGTTCTATCCTAATTAACAACATAATACTTACTCTTTTCACCATTTTCACTAATGTATTGTTTTCATGACTTATTTTTATTACATTGATATTTAATGATAAAGGTTATAACTTAAAAATGTAAACAACACGCGCAATACAGCATGGGTATGACTGTGGGAAACTGACTGACTGACTGACGGTTTGGTTGACAAATTGACAGTGACAACAATAATTTGCATCTAAACTTAAGACCAAAGCATATAATCTATGCAGCTATATTTTATTCCTTTGATTTATCAATAGAGCAGTGTCGATAATGCTATAGAACCAACAATTCCGATCGAGAGATTTTCTACCGTGTTCAAGGTGAATTAAAATTATTTGTCATGATTCAAGAATTCGCCACTTTTATGTGATCTTTTTGATCGTTCATTTAACCATTGCTTATAACAAACAAAAGGGTTTGTATAAAAACTCCATAGGTAGATTTGATATTTTCTTACTGTGAACGTTCGACTACAAATAATCTTTATTTAAAGTTTCAAACAAACTTTAACATAAAGCACTTTTTAAGTTATATTTTTAAATTCTACCAGTCATTAGGCAATAGGCTCTGCTTATAAATGTATTAGTTTTAAGATTTTGTGTCAATGCAAACTGCGAAATAGCAAAGTTGACATAAGAAATAAATACTTTTATCAGAAAGTAAGACCACACCTAGAAGCAGGAGTCGTTCACGAATATATATAGTATAAATAAAATAACAGATAGGTGTAAAAAAATCCATTTATTTAATTACCTGTATCATATTGTTTCATAATTTCCATTATGGCAATTGTTATTCAATAAATTAGGTGCATACAACGTTTGTACAATCTATTTCTACTTATTTATATTTTCTAGTATCTATTTCAAACAAAACTTGGTGAATTGCTATTTACATTACCATGTTTCTATGGCATGTAGGTACCTCTAATACTTAGAATAATACTATAACTTCATGACGCTATAATCTCGTGTGAGTCAAACCAATTTATTGTTAAGTATTATAATAGTCTACTTTGGTACCTAGGCATAGGTAGGTATACATTTTATTTACCAGCTACTCACACCAGCAGTGGTTACAACCAACTCGCTCCAGTGGGGTAACTCATTGAAAGGCACTTAATACCTACATACGCATGCTTAATAATACTGTATACAAACATCGATTTTAAAGTTAACACTTTAAAGTCAATTTTTGTACTGTATTATTTGGCATGCAGTATGCCTACATAATATTCGATTTTTTTAAATAATAGAGATTTGGGGCAATTCCTTAGTTCAGTTTTGAGATGACAGCGTTAGTGTAGTCGCTACATTTGCCGGTGCCTCCCAGATCGCCAGTAAGGGCTTTTCCTTCCCTCAGTACTTCGTAGCACGCATTTTGCACACGGTCTGCGTGCTCGTTTAACTGCAAGTGCCGTAACATCATAATAGCTGAGAGGAGGAGGGCAGTGGGATTGGCCATGTCTTTACCAGCGATGTCAGGAGCTGTGCCGTGCACCTGAAAACAAATAAAATTCACATAACTAGATGAATAAATAGATGTTTATACGTCTTTTAATCACGCGCTAATGCTTGAAAGCCTAGTATTGAGGGTTATTGGTATCATTGCCAACTAATGTAACGGTGTTAAATTGTCTTCCACACTTGCTTCATTATGGTACATTACCCAGTAAAGTCACAATGGTATTCCAAACGTTAGCATCATTCTTCCACTTCCTCTTATATGTATCCCTTAGATATATACTATATACAAGAGGTGATAACAAATGAATCCACTGCTGCCGCATACATGAGACTGGAGACAGCTGTTGTTTTCGTCTCATTATACCTTACGCGTACTGTATCACTGTAACAGTTTGCCATTTGCTAGAAGGGCTACATTTCTGCTTTTAGTAAAGCAATAAAGTTAAGTTTTACCAATCATTCAAATATGGAATTATATCCTTTGGAATGGGACGACACATTTTTTTAACATGGGTAAAACGCCCATGTCAAAAAAATGTGTCGTTAGGGATTTTTGTACCTGATCCATCCACTGATATCGATGACTATATAATACGTTTTTTTTTCGTTTTATACATACCTGATAAATAAAACTGCTCTGTATCAACTTAACTTTTTATTTACATAAAACTAACCTAAATGTCTACAAAAATCATATTTCTTAAAGAAATCCATGTACTTCGACAAAATTATATTTAGATTTAAATGTTTTAAATACTAGGTATTTATTGTCAGATCATATCTGAATAAATCTAAATTTAAAAGTGGAATTTACACGGGCCATTTTGATTAAAACAGCTGATATAAAATGGCGCCAAAATATTAAGAAAATCCAGTTGTGCTGTTACACAGAGTAATAAACTATTCAGTGAAATTGAAAACTGATTTCTTACACAAAATAACTTAAGTTTATTAAATCATTCAAGCATTGCGTTCAACACATATACATTAATTTTATTGATAATAAATAAAATATCACATAAACATATAAAGCAAATGCATTTACACTTAAAAATACATGGTGACAATTTATAAGCAATTAAAACTACAATAGTACATTAATGAATAAAATCACAAAATACTAAGGAACTACTCAATAAATAATCACGCAAAACATTATACTAACGGACAAAAATACTGCTTATTGAAAATTATACTGGCGTATACTGGTAACATTACTATTTATAACCGTATAGAGAAGTTTCGATGCCGTAAAAAAATACGGAGAAATATTTAAAAAGCCTGATATACAATATGAATTCAATCATTTACAAAATAAACCTACGTTTTTAAACTATAAAGTCCTAAACGAATAAAATAATCATAATCAATACGAATTAACCTTACAATTTCCATTCAATTTGGTGCTCAAATTTAACTATCATGAATTTTTATATCACAATGTTGCCTTACTTCATTAATAATCTCGTTACGTGTAACATAACAGTTACTAGGTACATATTTATATACATATCTACTAGAGGGAGACCACAATATAGTCTGTTCCTTTTTTCTCGTAGCTATGTTCCTGTTTAAAGATTAAGGTAATGTAATATGGCAGTATAATGAATACTTATGAGTACTTTATTTTTAAAAGCAGTTGCTAATTTTCCTCTCTCCTTTGATTCAAATGAACATTCTCAGTTTTGCCTTTAGAGATGGGGTTATTTAACAATTGCAAATATTGTTCTATACTGTTCTTTCCTTTTAAATGCAACTCTCAAACAGATCATACACAATCTTATTCAAAATTATTTACCCCAACAGTTTTCTTTACCTTTATCATTTAAAATCATTCGTTGTAAGTACTAATAGAACGGGACAAATATAAATTTATTATTATAGTCGAAACATCAGATGTTAGTCTTTAAAACTGAGAGTTATTATTAACTTCATTATATTAAGGCCATTAAAATGGGTCAAAATATATCAGGCTTTATAGAACAGTTACTGCCATCCCATGATGGCTATTTACGAGCAATTTCAAAGATTGTGCATGCAGCGAGTGCGTAGCGAGTTTATATCCAATAAGGAAATATTGTACACTCTAATATAATAAAAATCCTACCCCGCTCCACTATACACTTCTGTATTTCTATACAAAACTGTGTATGGGCACGCAAAAAGTTCTGTGCGTGCCCGTTGAACCCTGCAACTGCGTACTCGTTTTTCTTTGAGTTCGCTATCATACCACCAGTGTGATATCAACTTTAGAATTACCCCTTTCAATTAGTTTTTCGTTTGCAGATGCAAAATTACAATCCCCAGTCAATAATTCCAGAGATTCTACATACAAACCGGCTTTTGTATCTCTCTACAAAGTTAGTACAAATAATGAAATAATAAATGCAGATCTATTTACTAAATAATACATATGGAATGTACACTCGTCTAAATAAATACATGCTACATTCGCCTTCTTTGGCAGTACGTGTCGCGCGCGATTGTTTTATAAATAAATAATAATATAATACTAGCACTATAATTAGGTTAGTTTATTTGATCTATCAATTTTACTAACGTTTTGATAAGTTTTGATCACTGTAGTGTTTTTAATCAACAAAAAACAAATATTTGTATAAAATACACTTTTTTACATGTGGAAACTGTATTAGCACTGTACTAACCATTTTGATTATTTAACATTTTATTTTCCTTTATATAGAGGTAATAAATTACGATTTTGCGAATAATGTAGTATACAAAATAAAGAACACATTTTTTTATTTTTCATACAAAATGCAGCAGTCAATTTATATATTTCATAATAAGCACTGATTGTGTCTGTGACTTTCCGCGTAATTGAATATTCAAGCTTGAAAAGAAAAAAAGGGAAGTATACCATACTTCTCAATTCATCTACCACGAACACCCTACACTGCGATTACTAAATGATGGAAGCGCATTTTTAAAAAAAATATGTATTAAAAAGACGTTGAAGGACTAAAATATTTCTCTTTTCGTCACGTTAAAAATTAAAAAAAAAATCATAATGACAACTGTCATCTGTATATAAAAGAATACAACGTAATAATACAACAGGAGTAGTAAAATTCGACTAAATATCTCAACTAGAGTTTCTAAATGAAACTGATACCGTTACAAATATAGACTGACAGAAATAGCCTTCCAGATGTATTCGCTGTTTACTGGTGTAGGTTTGGTATCGATAAACAGCTTGTGTGACGTCACAGCGAGATGAAAAAAATATGACGCGTTTTGTTTTCATATTCAAATGCCGGATGATCTTAAATTTGGCAAATGTACTGTTTACCTTCTGAACTGTGTGTTTGAACGTTATATAAATAAATAAACTAGCTGACGCCGATTTCTCAACAGTATTTTTTTATGGATGGTAATGGAATGGTGCACCCGCCTGCGCTAACGGTTTACGCTGGCTGGGCACCAGTGGAGGATGATAAGATGAGCGTGAGGTCAGGTCAGTTAGCCCATCTTAGCAAATTCACCAGGAAATTACCACGATGGTTTGAGGTCAATTGCTAATAATGGGTTTTTAAATTAGAAGTATATATTAATGTGTCTTAAGAGTCAGTAACGCGCACGTGGACCGTGTTTCGTATCTATACTCTATAATAACCGTTTACTAACAAATGGGATGTAATCCTTGACTTAAAACGATATTATTTCATTTAATATTACATTCTATAGACGACCTGATGTTTAATGGATTAGGATATCATCTTATTTTGAATAACTATATTCTTAAGAATTTACTTTAAGTTTTTATGACATATGTATGTATTTAATTACTTATAATTTTTACATTAAGGTAACAATAGAAAGAAGGAGGGGGAAGGCAGAGTTACATCAAGCAAATTAAGGTCAAAATTTCTTCACTTTCAGTTTCACCGATATGAGATAAATTACGAATGAATGAATGAACAGCATATAATGTATAATCGCTCAAGGAGAATAATATTGTTGTGCTTCTAACAGTACTTAGTTCCTTTCTAAACATTAGCTACAGCGATCAAAACCTTACCAATAATTTTAATCTAAATTATTTATTATTTCATTAGTGTACGCTGAACAGCTGCTATTTCCACCTAAGTCTTCAGTCAGCACTTTCCCTTCACTCAGCACTTTGAAGCATGCACCTTCGATCTTGTCAGCAAAATCATATAACTGCAAATGTCGCAGCATCATCACAGACGAGAGGAGCAACGCCGTGGGATTAGCCTTGTCGTGGCCGGCTATAGAGGGTGCGGTGCCGTGTACCTGCAAAATGTAATTGGATGAATAGATTTCATACATTTGTGTGTATTTAAGTGATTTTCCATACATAACATGAGTTATATGTGTTGATTCTCCATGCAAATCAATACAATTAGTTACGAGCATAGTGACGTGATATATTAATACTGGCTGTTAGGGAAATATTTGCAATTGATAAATGTAGATCGTGGAATATAAAGTGACCGCTTATATGAAAGAGACAAAAGACATCTCGAGTATTAGATAAATATAGGACGTAGATATAAAGTTATCGCTTAAACGAAAGGGACAGAAGATATCGAGAATCTTAGTGTGTATATCAGGTACTACATCAGATGTAGCTTTAAGGTTTTCGATATCTAACCACATTTGTAGAGTTTCGAGAATTATCGATACTCATTCCTCATGATTGTTCGCGAAAAATCTAAATACAAAAAAGTAGAATTTATAAATTAACATATTTTTTTTTACTGATTGATTAGATTAGATGATTGATAGATTGAATTGATTAGATGTTACGATTTTTTATATGTGATCTTTGATTATATTTGTTAATTATTTTTCAGGATATAGTTATATTAGCTATCCATGCATTAGCGACAATTTATTGAATTTAGGCCGCATGCGAAGCGGTAAGGAGTCATTTCCTATCTGAGCGGTGTGGTTTTCTTTCTATTTTCTTAAAAAAAAAAAAAGATTAAATTGTCTATGGCGACCACAATAACGCAAAGATTCCCCTTAAAGCCTGTATAAATACAC